TTGTCAATGTTATGTTACATTTAGAATTAAAAATATTGAGATAGTCAAAAAAACAAATTATATATATATATATTTTTTTTAGAAAATATTCAAAATATGATGAGCTTCATTTATTAGCCAAGAACAAAGTCATTGATGTGTTGCTGCCAAAGTACACGAGCCTGGTACCTATTTGTCGTTTCAGTTTGGCTTCTGCTAACAGTGCTACGACAAATTCTCGACTCAATTGGCAGATTATGGATACCAATTGTTTTCAATTCATTCCAAGTAAATATTTTCAATTAAGTTTGTTTCATATGTTATAATCTTAAACTTATCAAATAGTATCAATTAATCGTTTAACAAATTTTTTGAAATTTCTAACAAAAATTAATATTTGAAGAAAAATTTTAGCAAATAAAAACTTTGACAAATTAGACTATAATTTCAATTAAAAAGATAAAAAAAATAAAAACGAAATTAAATCTTTTACAATCATTTCCAGTAATTGCGATTAATGTTCGCTCTCTATGCAATAAAAAGTAATCAAAGATTTTAATTTCAGATTAAAATTGTTAATTAATTTTAGGTTTTTTCATGTATTTGCGGACTAATAGCAATGATTCATTGGCAAAAACGATTAATTGTAGTCTTTATGCTATTCAGTTTTACTTCCATATTATATAATATTGCGCTTATCTTATGGTATAATGAATTATTTGCTATCAGCCGTAACGTACCGATACTTAGCGCTGGATTTCCCTATTCTTACAGGTAAATAGTTTCACTCGCACGGGTAAATAGCCTGGATTTCCCTATTCTTACAGGTAAATAGTTTCACTCGCACGGGTAAATAGCCTGGATTTGCCTATTCTTACAGGTAAATAGTTTCACTCGCACGGGTAAATAGCCTGGATTTGCCTATTCTTACAGGTAAATAGTTTCACTCGCACGGGTAAGTAGCCTGGATTTCCCTATTCTTACAGGTAAATAGTTTCACTCGCACGGGTAAATAGCCTGGATTTCCCTATTCTTACAGGTAAATAGTTTCACTCGCACGGGTAAATAGCCTGGATTTCCCTATTCTTACAGGTAAATAGTTTCACTCGCACGGGTAAATAGCCTGGATTTGCCTATTCTTACAGGTAAATAGTTTCACTCGCACGGGTAAATATTTCGTGCGATATGATAAAGTTAAGTAAAATATGAGGTATAGAAGAGTACGCTGCAATTATTCATAAGTAATTCGATTAATTGATTGCAATGTAAGAGATATTATTGAGTTATAGTAGAATTAAATTGATGAGAATACAATTTAAGTTTAACAGTAATACAAATAGTTTAAGTTAGTATATAACTTGAAGGTGACACAATTTCAAAAAATTTGTTGTTCAGTGACACTGTTATAGAGATTGTGTCTAAATAAAGATAATTTAAGAAAAAAATATTTCAAGTGTATCATATAGAGAAACTTATTGTTTATTTAAAGGAAGAATATAAAATTTAAATCAAAAATCTTTTTTTTCTTTCTTTTTATTTTACTTTTTGTAAAATTTTATTGTTCAAAAGCAATTACAAATGTAACTTTGAAAAAAAAAAAAGAATTAAGTAGAAAAAATTTGACTTTTGTAATTTTTTAACTTTTAATAAACGTAGAATGAAAAAGAGAAAATGAAACGTCAAAATTTCAAAGTTTAAATTTTGCAGTAAAATTGAAATATTTAATCTTTTGCTTCAGTCATTATCATCTTGAACTTATTGCCTCATTTTTCCTTTATAATAAATAAATTTTATTTCCTTTTCTAATTTTTTAAATTGTCCCAAATAATTTTCAGTTTTTTTCTCCGATACACACCATCTTGCAAGTCGTACTATAATTTAACAAATTTTCGTTGGATGCAACTGTCATGCATAGTACCTTATTATCATATTGAAAGTGCTCAAGCTCTTTTGCATATTTTCATGGCTAATTTTTCAATTATTTTATCGATTATCTTTTTCTCGAAGCAAAATTTCAATCAAAAGTTTGTTGAATTTTGTTTAGAATTTTATTCATGAAATTACATTTTGCTAAATTTCTTATCAATTATATTACATTCTGTTCAAAATTAGCTTAATTAACATTAAAAAATAGGAAATCTGAAAAGCTTCAAATTTAATTATATTAATTACTATCACTAAGAAAAGATAAAAGTGTTGTGTTAAATTTTTATTGAAGCAATTAATTAATTTATAATTTTAGGTCTGAAAAACAAATTGTCAATATGACCACTGATGAAAAATTCTGCGCTGATCATTATTTTATGAGTGCTACGTTTAATAATAGTAAAAAATATAAGTGAGTAAATTAATTTTGACCATTAAAAAAGAAGGAAATTGAAGTATTGTTGAGTTATTAAGTTAATTCCGAAATATTATAGTTAAATCTGATATATAAGAGATAATAATGGATGTTCAGAGCATTAAACTAAATGTGAAAAATGTTTCACAAGTAATAATTTTAATGATTTTTAAACGAAACTTAACTTTTTAATTTAAATTTCAAATGACTAATAAATTGTGCAGTCAGGAATATTCAAAAGAGGGAATTAATTCAATTAATCAAGCAATTAATGAACAATGTGCTAGGCCTAAAAACGGTTATATAAGACATTCGGCTAAAAAATCAGCACGAAAAGGTTACAAAGAAACAATCAGTGCTTATAAAAATTTGAATAATTTCCAGGTATATCAATTTATAATTTAAATATCAAATATTTCTTTGTGAAATTTAGAAAAATACTTTCTATGGTTTTATAGTTTATACATTAATAATTTATTCATATCATTAATCAAAAATGACTAATCAAAAAAAAAAAAAAAATTATTTTATGATTATATTATAAACAAAAAATTATTTTTTTAATAGATGTTTTTTTAAATTATATATTATTAAAATTGTATGTTACATATTTTTTTATTATATACTATTTTATTATTTATACTTTTCTTTTTTTTTTAATTTTATATTTATTCAAATATTATTTTTCTTATTGCAGAAACCATTTACTATAAAGCGTTCACAGTCGATGACTGATTTAGGATGTAATTGTCAACAAATAGGACACATTCATAACCAACAAGCTTATGAACCAATAAATAAAGGTATTAGTTGATGAAATTACTGGGTTGATTCATCTACATTAATTAGAAATGCTTGACTGAAAGAATTTTAGATTCGTATTTAAATGACACTGCTACTAGAGCATCATTAGCTAAGCGTTCAAAAAACTGAGCATCTGTTTATGAATGTGACATTTCAGATGTCACAAATGCATCAAAAGCAACAGGGATACTGATGACAAATTCAGGATGTGTGTATCGTAGTGGAAGTTTAAAAAATTTTAAAATGCCAACAACAGAAGGAGTGAGACGGATTTTGTCACGTGAAGAGGTTTAGTAGATCAATAAATCATATTACTAAATATATTTGCATGCTACTCTTATAAGTTATTAAGAAAATTACTTGTCTTACTTTTTAATACATTCACTTTTTAAATCTTTCAAAATATCATTACTAATTTGAATTTTAATTTCTAGATAAATTTGGCAGGTAGCTATCGAGCAAAAAATACTTGTGCAAATTCGCCAAATACTAATTTAAAATCGTTAGTCTCATTTGATCCAAAAAGTAACGTTTTGCTCCGAATTCATAATCACATTGATGACGATGATGACGATTACAATGATAATATTACTGATAACGTTGACACTACTCGACGACACCATCACCATCCTCCACAATCACAACAACAACAAAAGATCCTAGCACAGGTAAATTTATAAAAACTCCTCTCCTTCATTTCAATTTTAAGAAAAATTCCAATTGTTTCAAAATTTGCAAGAACTGTTCATAGCACATTAATTACATTGCAATATAATTACAACAAGTTTACTTTTTTTTAAAATATAATTTCAAATATTTAAAATGTTAAACGATAATTTTCTTCTCAAAATAATAAATGTTTCTGATTAATAAAATATTATTTTAAGTTTTTTTTCTTGATAAAGTGTCACTTATTAAGGTGGTGGAACAAATTCCACATCAAAATGTAAAATATTCACCGATGAATAATTTCTTGACAACTTATCAACCGAAGGACTTAATCATTGATTGCTACAATCTGACCAGTTACGATCAAATGCCATCCAATTTGTCACCACGACGATCTGTTCGGTGTTCTAAACACAATGATAAGAATGCAATGGTATATTTATCCATTATCACTTTATCATTTGAGTACAAAGTTTTGTCCCAAAGTTAAGAATTAAGCGATGAGAAAAGAAAAAACAGCAATTTGAACCTTTTTTTTTTGTATTTTCTTTCTTAATGCAACAATAATTCCATATTGATTTCATATGAATCCATCACTAGCCATATCACCAAACTTTGGTATTTGTCAACCAGTCAGTCAATCAATCGATAGATCAATCAATCGATCATTAGTGACAGTATTATTACTTTTCTCTATTACAGTATGATAAAAAAGAACAATGTAGAAGCACGGAGAAATCTTCATCAATTGATCACCAAAAATCAACGAACACATATGATATATCAATTTTCAACAGTAACAATTTTCTTGTTTGAAAATTACTCTGTGATCTCTTTGAATCATTTTTCAGTTGTTTAATTTCACCGTGTTTTGCTATAAAATTTTATAAGACACTCGTGCTTGTATACATTATTAAATAATTAGTATATACATATACAGCCAATAAATTTCCAGAAAAAAAAAAAATTAAAAATTTTGATAATTGAGGCTTGGAATTTTTGAAAATTTAATAATCAAACTTTGAACAAATTGAAAATTTCTGAATGCTTTTTAAAAAGGCTATGAAAGCTAATATCTCTTTAACTGCTTAATTTAAAAGAAAATTTTTTGATTTTTATCACACACTATTTCAAACAAAATACAAAATTTAAATTTAAAAATTTGTTAACAATTGAATAATACTTTTTGCTATGCAAATATATCAATTTACACTATTTTAATTAATGATAACAATAGCAATTGTATAATTATAATTAAAGCAGCTGTTGTTAGCTTGATGGAATTGCCAGACGCAAACATATTTCTTGCTCGTATACCTGAATATAATTGTAAAATTTCGATAAAATTTTGGAACTAGAAGAATTATCATTAATTCAGTGAATTATTTAGATAGATTTGTCTAATATTCGGTTTTTTTTGTGTTTCAAATTAACAGAAAAAATGAAAACTTCGAATTACAAATTTAAATTTCAACTAAATTCTTCTTTAAAAACCTACAAAAATTTGTTAAATTTTTGTTAAAAAAAAAAAAAAAAAAAAATTTTTGTTAAAATTTTTGTTAAAAATTTGTTAAAAAAAATTAAAAAATCGTATATTACTAGATAAAGAGTTAAATAAAAGTTTAATTCAACTGAAAGCATAAGTAATCTACCTGTAAGTGACTGTCAAACTTTGATACTATCATCGTAAAATTATTTTTGCTCACCTTTTGCAATATTTCGATGATCTAACATAATTATATCGCTCTCATTTTTATTGTTTGCAATCGATTTACAATTCAATGATAATTCTTTGTCACAAACAATCTTTTGAAATGGTTTTGTTGATGATTTGAGTAATGTTTTTTCTGTTGTTACTTCTCGAGTTGTTATATTTGAGTGTAATTTTTGTTCTCTGTTTTTAATTATATTTCGATAACCTAAAAAGAAACTTAAATAATAAATTATTACTGTTATTGCTATATTTTTAAAAGAATTCTTTCTTTACTAAAAAAAAAAAAACAATGCAATCTAACTTTTTGATTTTATTTTTTTTTTTTTTTGAAATTCAAAATTTTCAAAATTACAATGAAATTATTAGAAAGTAAAAGATTGCAAAAAAAAAAAAAAAATTTAATTTCATAAAGTCATACTGCTAAGTGTGACGAAGTATTGATAAAAACCATTTTCCGACGTATCGCTCAGAATGTGAACAGAGTAATATCCGGTTGATTGTACATAATGCAGTCGAACGGTTGAATGAACGGTTTGTAATGCAAAATATCCGGAATTATTTGGACTTAACATTTTATATACATAATTATTTGAGATGAATACTCCATCCATTTCAATATCATTGATAGCATTTTGGTCCATGAATATCTAAGGAAAGCATTCTTCTAATTAATTAAGCTTGGTTTCAACCTTTGTAACTCTTTATATCAACTCTTTTAAATCAAATCAGTCATTTTTATAAACTGAAATTCAGCTTTTATCAAATTGATAAGGAAGAAATATTAATAAATATTATTAAATGTGCAAAAAAGAAAAGAAAGGAATGAGCACAATGATTAGAACAAAATCTTTTTTATCATATCAATGATAAAATAAATTCTTAAATTTTAAAGATTTATTTCACTTCGTAATTAAATTACTTTTGCTTTATGTTAAGCAAAAAAGTTATAGAATAGAAATTTCAGTTTCTTCTTACCAAAACCCAGTTTTGATAATGACTAGCAACAAAATGACTTCTTCCCGTGACATATTGTTGAGTAGATGGAATAAAGTCAATGTAACTACCTTCCATATTAGATGAACCAAAAGAATAAACTTGAATATAATCATTTCTAAATTAATGTTTATCAAAAATGATAAGATTGCAATGCTTACAGTTATTTTGCCTGCTACTATTAAATAAACATTTTTATTATACAAATAAAAATAAGCAATTGTAAAGTAAAAAAAAAAAAAAAAAAAAAAAAAAAAACAAATAAACAATTGATAATAGTTAAATACTATAAAGAGAGAGTAATAATCAATAATCATTAATATGAAAGACTACCTACAATACATTGTTGAAAAATCAGAGAATATTTGCCCTGATAACTGAAAATAATGTTGCATCGTTGCTGGTTCAAATTTCAATCGCTTAATTTCTTTCACCGTTGATTTTTTACGTGGGAAAAAATCCACGTAATACGCTGAACATTTGCTATCTGACGGTGTCATCGTGAAAAAACCCGAATAGTTGTAATGTTGTGCTATGAACATATAATGCATATCATGCAATGACATATCGTTTTCCATTGAACAAACTGAAAATATATTTAAATTTCAAGAATCAGCAGTACTCATAATGCAGAATAAAAAGGGAAATAAATTTGTACCAATGAAATTTTCATAACTTTATATTTCATTGATATTATAAATTAAACTTTATATATATTTAATTAAACATTGAAAATTTAATTAAACAATTTTTCAACAATATAAACTGCTTTATATGAAAGAGATGATTGGAAATTTACTTAAATAATTTCTCAAAAATATGTGTTATTGTTATAAAAAGCTGTTTGCTTAGAAAAAACAACACTATGAGCTAAACTAAAAAATAAAATAAAAAGTAACAGTAAAATTATTTCTAAATATTAAAATTGTTTGCATAAAATGAGAAATTAATAATGTAAGAATAAAATATTGACCACTTTGTGATGGCATAGGTACTGCCATTGTACAACCAAAATCTAATCGATGTTCAGTATTGTGAATGATTAGCAATCGTTGTAGAGCAATAATCACTTGAAATGATTTATCACTCCATAAATTCATTGACACTTCTTCAGCAGATCCATAGTAAGCAAAAATTGAAGAGTTTTTTGCAGCCTAATATGTTCATGTTTTATTCAAATAAAGTTTAAAACAAAAAATTTTGCCATGTTTTGATTATAAATGAAAAAAAAAATTGTACGTGTTAAAACATTTGTAATTACTGTATTAATGATTACTATATTAATGAAAATGAAAAAATTAAAATTTCAAACCTATCGATGCTTATTTAATGTTTATTTATTCATAGCTTAATAGTTTCAGCAATATCATTCTTTTTATTAAAGACAAAAGAAGCAACTAACGAACTATTCTATGCAATTAAGAAATGAAATATTTACAGTGAATATGAGTATTACTGTAGCATAAAGTGTATCGTAAGAATTTTTGTAATTTTGCCAGTATACTGTATCTCTTGTTTTAAAAATAGCATTTATTGAAAAAATTTATTTAAACTAACGGAATACTTTTAATCATAGAGCAGTTAGTAACAATTATATTAGTGTAAAAAATTTTGTGTCTAAAAAAATAAGGATAAGATAGTCAAAAAAGAGAAATTAAAATAAAAAATATTTTTCAGTGAGTTTTTTTTTTTTTTTTTTGCTGTGAATTCAATTGATTTAAAAATTGAATTTGAGCAGAAATACCTATGCATATGAAAATTGTCACTTTTAATTGTCATTTATCATACTTTTTGTTTGCAAAAAATTAGTTTAATTATATATCTATCAGAACTGGTTACCATAATGTTCGATCAATCGATAAATTATTGGATAAATAAAAAGGAAATTTACCTTAGTTTTGATATTATAAAGTTTTTCCTCCCCGTCCACTTTTGCTATAAATGATATTTTTGTTGTTTGAAAAGATGGCAAAAGATAAACAATTGAATGACTATTATTAGCCACTGATTTTGGTAATGAAAAGGAATAGTTTTGACCAGCCATTTTTAATGGTAACACTAAAATATTCCTTTTCAATGCTTTAATGCTATAAAATTTTTGTTTTATTTTATTAGCTTCTTATAAATTGATTTTATAGTATAAATTAATGTTTGTTAGTAAATTATAAATTATTTTATGTGATTAAAAAAAAATCATTTAAATAATATTTTGTATAATTGAATCAGTTGCGTTCAGTAAATTTACCTTCAACCTTTGCGCTTCTTAATTACTGAAATCATTTTCTAATTTAATTTTGCCTATTTACATTATGAAGCTTTATAATAATAATGTTATCGCTCAATATGACTTCATAAAATTAATGTTTGCTTGTAAATCATAAATTAAAAAATACAGAATACAAGTAAATAAGAAACAGAAAATACTAAAATTATTAAAAATAACGCAATTATAAAATTTTCAGCAAGATTGTGAAATGTAAAGTTTTAAAAAGGAATTTAATTTTAGTAGTATAAATTAAACTCAGATGCATATTCTGGTGAAATTTTTATTTTTAATAAAATCTTAGAATTGAAATTTGTTAAGTTTTATTTTTTAATTCTATGAATTAAAGGTGTTTTCATCACAGAATTATTTTAAACTAGGATGACAAAGCATGAAACCTGTAAAACTGTCACCAATTCTATTACCAATAAAACAAGATTGGGTGACAGATATTGGAATAGTAGATGTTATTGTAATTCGCGAATCATAATAACTCTTATAAATGCTAACATTGTATGCATTATAAAGTTTTGTCATCATTATTTTATTCATTTTTAACTGAAAAAAAGAACAAACCTTTCACAATATTTGAAATCAATCTTTTTAAATCTCAAATTTGTAATTTGACAACCTAAGAAGACTAAATTAAATTTGGAAAAATATTCAAATAAAATTTTTCTCTTCAAAAATCTGCTCGATAAACTACAAAATTTAAAAAAAAAAAAAAGAAATCACATAATTGATGCTGAAAATTTGACAAATAAAACAAAAAAAGAAAATTGTCTATTTATTAAAAATAAAATTAACCTTATGATGTGTGTATGGTTTAATGTTATATAATATTTCAGTTAAATTTCCCTTTGATCCATTATAATAACTGATTCGAACTCTTGCAAACATATATGGATGAGGGTTAAGTATATCAAGACTTAAGTCAGTATTGAAATTATCAGTAGCATTCTCGTCTATCATCCACGGGAATAATGTTATAAACGATACGCCGAAGATATCTTGGTGATATAAGTTTGCATCATTTTTCATCGTCCATTTTAGTGTTTCCGTCGGATATGCTAAAAATTTTTGACTAAAGAAAACTTAAACCCTTAAACTTTTACTAATGCATGCTAATAAAAGTGATAAAAATTCAATAATATTTGGTAAAGCTTAACTTTTAAGCAATTAATTAGAATAAATCACTGATAATTAGAATAAACTTCGACTTTTTAACTCATGTCATATCCAATGCTCAGTTATTTTAAATTTTAAAAATTGATTTATTTGAATAATTTTAAAAAATTGCAAATATTTTCATGAATTTTTTCTTAGCTTTATTTTTTTATTTTCATTAATTTTATTCCATTTCATTTATTTCATATTATTCTTTTTTTCCTTCAAAAATACTATCCACTTTTTTAAAAAAATAAATAAAATTGTTTACCATTAAAAGCATATGCATAACCATAATTTCTCCTATTTCCACCAAATATAAAAAGTAAATAACGTCCGTTTGATTCCAAGCAGTGCATTCCACGTTCTAATTTTGTTGTATTTATTTTACGCATTGTAATGGATCGAAATGAATTTTCAAAATATTGCACATACTCCGCGTCAATTACTTTACCATCTAATACTATGCTATCCTGTTGACGTGAAATGTCGTACAGCTAAAGTAAGAGTAACGAAAAAAGTTTTCATCTAATGGAAAACGATACATTAATCAATTCATTATGTTTCTAAAAAATTAACTTAATGCAACAAAATTATGTTCGAAATAACCACAATTCAATAATTTAACTCTAAATTTATTTAAAAAAAATTAATTTATAAATGTTATTTTAGAGTAATTATCTTCATTTTATAAAATACAAAATGAGCATTTTTATTTAAATATTTTTAATATATATACTCATTTGCTAAAATCTTTGACTTTATTTCCGTTTTTTTTTTTTTTTTTTTTTTCTTTTTGCTTAATTGAAATTAAATTTCACTTTCAGCTAGTGATAAGAAAAGTATTTCAACTGCTGCTTAGAATGAATCATAGATGAGCTAGATGAAAAAAAAAAAGAAACTAACAAATAATTGTTCACTTTCATTTTTAAACGGAAAACACATTCGTCCGGTAAGGTACTGCGAGTAAGCAGGTATCATATCCAGAAATGAGTAAAGGTTTTGATAAGTTTCAAAGCGAAGTAATTGGAACAGAGTATTGCTACAAAAGTTAATTTATCATATTTACTTTGTATTTCTACACCAATGTTTTGTAAATAATTATACAAAACAAACTTTTTGTTATTAGCAAATAATACAATTCAATAATGTTTTCTAAATATAAGCAAATTAGATATCATAAAAATTAGATTTGTAAAAATTATCAGAAATGAGAAAATTGTAAAATCTGATTGTTCGAAATAAACAATAAAATAAAATACAACTGATAATACTTTCAACAAATTTTTTTAAATTAATGAAGCAAACAAAAAATTAGAAAGAAAAAAATTGGGAAAAAAAAAAGAGTTAAACAGTCTGAAAAAGTTAACGAAGGCAATGATATAATAAAAAAAGAAGAGAAAAGGAACGAATGTAAAATATTTTAAGTAAGTATAATGGAAGTAAAAGCTTAGTTTGAATATTACTGACAAAAGATTATGTTTTTAAAAATTAATTTTTAAATAATAAAGATAAAAAGTGAACTTTGATGCATAACCAATGATTGCGTCCTTAAAGTGATAATTCCATTGCATCACGATATTATCGAAGATATTGCAAGGTTCAACATTAATTAGCTTTGTGCTATTAGGTCGAAATGTGGCGACAGTAAACGTTTGACAACTTTGCATTGGTGGTGACAGGAAGAGGTGAGTTTGACAATTCTCGAAAGATTGCAGAGGTGTGAAATGAACATCGAAATCATCTCGAAGTGCTATTCGAGAGTAAACTGAAAATGGCATTCATTCAAATATGTTATATGGAAAAGGAAATAATACAAAGTCAGACTGATATCTTTTTTTTTCACATTTTCGTTTTATTTATTTTTTTAATCTTTGATTTTTTTTAATACGTATTTATATTTCTGTCATAGAAAGTGCTATTTAAAAGGAAAAATTTAAGATTTAAAGTCAAAAAAAAGTGCAGTAAAACTAATAAAATCAAAGTTTGTCGTTTTTCTCTTTTTGTCCTTTTTTTATTTTTTGTTTTTTTTTTTTCTACTTCTACAATCGAATATTTAGTGTGAAATGATTTCTTTTCTTTTTTAAATAAGTTGGTTTTTTTTTTCTCAAATAAATTAAATCATTTCAAAAGTGATTTCAATAACTTTAATTATATGGAATTATCATTAATTTCTTTAATATTAATTTATTCATTAACGAATTTAATTTATTTAACATTAATTCTAATTTAATTGATTTAATGCAAGAAATTAAAATACCATTGTCGGGCAATGGCATAAGCATTGTGCATGCAAAGCTTTCACTTGAAATATCCGTCAATTGTGTTCGTATTGCTAATAGAATTACAATTGGTGATGAACTCGTTATGTGCACAGTAAAGGAATCATTGATTGAATTATTGTATGCATAAATCATCGATCCGTGATCAAACTGAAAAGAGCAAAAAAGAAATGGAAATGATTGAAATTTTGCTATTACTGATATTGAATAATTCATTCATTCATTTCAACTTGCTAATATAATTTAAATACCATTTTTTGCCACATATTAATTACTTTTTAATAGTTAAATTTTGATAAAATAGGTTTTCATTTTCAGATATTTGACAAAAATATTTGACATAAATTTAAAAACAAAATTCTTCTGAGTAAAATGTACATTTCTCTTCTCTATTTTTAAAAAAAAAAAAATAGACAAATGATTGGAAAGATCACAGTAAATTTGTAATCTCTAAATCCTATTAATTTAAAAATTTATTGTACCCGTGAAATCCTATTGGTCCTATTGACTCGTTTAAAAGATTCCCTTGTAATCGTTGTAATGTTTATGTATGAATCAGTATATGTCGGTATGAAATAAGCTGTTGAAATGCCCATAAATGTTGCAATTGAAAATGAATAATGATTTCCGGCCATGGTTACCGGTAAAACTGAAAATGAAAAAACTGTATAATATGTTTGGAAATATTTTAGTAAGTAATTCTTTCTTTTCTTTTTTTGCCTTTCTCTCTTTCTTTCTTTTCTTTCCTTCTGAAAATATAAGAAATCGAAAAAATAATTTTAATATTGGAAAAAATATTACACAAATAATTGATTTAATTTAATTTATATCGAAGAAAGCATTCATTAATTACTACCTGTGAAGCAATCACCATTTCTGCGAGTGATAAAAATGCATTCTATGATTGAAATTGATAAATTTGAAGAAATGAAAATTCGTGTTGCGCCAACTGAGATGACACTACTTCTGTCATCTTTAAGTGGCCGTGTCATCACTGTCGTTGGATCAAATTTATGCTAAAGAATCTGCTAATCATATCATATCAACGAGTAATTATAATTATTGATTCAAAGACTTATAATTTCAAATTGACCTACAATTAATAAATAATTTGCATGCAATGAAGTAATTTGTTTTTTTTTTTTTTCTTAAATAATTTTTTTTTTTTGAATGATAGGTACTATTTGATCTATGATAATTTTTGATTTTTGAATAAATCATATATTTGATCTTCATCTTACTTATGTATTTTTAATTTCAAAGGAAAAATGAATTATCTGATTTGCTTTATTTACATTTCTTTGTGATAAGATGAAGTGATAATAAGGATTTGGCCAATGAATTTCAACAGGAGACAATACTTTATCAACGAAACTAACTGTAATGAAAGAATTTGATGCGACATGAATGACATCCTTTGATAATTCCGCCATACTTTTGAAATGTCCTAAGCCAATGTCATATTCAATGATAATCGTTGCTGTCTCATTTTCTGATGCATTAACAATTTCAAAGGTAAGTGAGGTACCATTCGATACTTTGTTACTCCATGGAAATAGCGTAACGAATTGAGTGCCAAATGTATTAATTTCCATTATTGCTCTTTGTATTAGCACTGAAATTAATTTGTGCCTTTTATTTTTTTCTTATCAAAATTGTTTACCTTTTGCTGTATTTCCATTTCATATTAGAAATTTCTAAATTTCATATGCTAAATGAAAATTTATTTCCCAATTTCTGCACTCAATTAGCATTTAATTTATCATTTGCATATCAAATTTGATTTTATGTGCTTAGAAGTTAAAGCATTTAAATGTTATTTATCAATGATTGTATGATTTCAATTACGATAAGTTAAATTTTAAAGTTAATTTTAATTATAAGCAATATTGTATACCTGTGAAATAGATAAACATTTGGAATTTTTGAATCATATTGCAATTCAAGGTGTGAATATTTGCATCCTGAAATTTCATCTAAAATTTTCGAATTAATATTTTAAGGTTTGTGAACTTTGGTCTGATTGCTAATTCACCGAAATGTTACTGTTAGTGTGATAATATATTTGTTTATTTTTTATTTGTTTAATGCTTGGAAAGAATTTATGATCGAGAAGAAAAATTTATTTTGAAATATTTTTTTATTTTTATTTTTTTACATTTTTTGTAGGATAAAAATTTTTAATTTTACAAATGGAAAAATTGTAGAAAGTCTTTATATTGTTCTAAGCAATTCTAATTAATTTCCGTCGTTTTTAATTTTAGGAAAGAATTTTCAAAAGTGAAATTTTTTTCTTCCATCTAAATTTAATTTTTCTCTTTTTTTAATTCGAAAGAATTTCTATTCTGAAAAAAAACAAATTTCGTTATCACACAAAAATCAAAATAATATAACAATCAAACAATTCATAAAAAATAAAACAAAAAAATGAAACACAACCAACCAATAATGTGCAATGATCGTAATGAAATACAAATTAATATTGTTTGAGCTTTTTATAATTTAACAAAAAGCATTTCAGGTTGCTAATTTAATTTTCACGTTCACGTGAATGTTTAATTTATTAGCTATTTAATTGAGGTCTTTTGCACTGTTAATTAAAATAATATATTTAAATGCTGTCGACGAAAATTTTGAAGTGAAGAAAAGAATAACCAGCTGAGGAATTGAAAAAATAAAATGAGAAAAGAAATTGGAGAAGTTTTTGATAAAATAATTTTACAGTGATTAATAAATAGTAGAAGAAGAGAAAAAATAAAATAAAATTTGTTACAAAATATTTCCATCAATTATTTCTAATCAATTTTTTTATAAATTATAAAATAAAATCCTTTTTATGTGATTAGAAAAAATAATAAGTGAAGACTATAAGTTATAGACTTTTGTTTGTTACGCTAATATTATTTACGTGTAAACGTTGACGACGTAAGTAACGTCTCCGTTACTTTTACGTGCCACATCGCTGATACTTTTTTCTATTTATTAAGAATTGAAGCAAAGAAAAAGTATTTTCGCTTTTTTTAAGTACAACAACTGATAAATTCATGCATTGACAATGAAATCATTGCATTTGTCTAAGTAAAAAGCAAATTATTTGTTATTATTATTAAAAACATTTTTTTGTTTATTTTTAAATCGTTATCATTTAGTAGTGATAATCATATGCTGATAACATAATTATGAATGAAAATGTTTATTCATTAAAAATTTGAATTAATGAGAGGAGTCCAATTCAATTTGCTGAGAAATTTCATCTGCAATTTGTTTTAAATTTCAATTTTAATTATATTTTTTAATTATGACTAACTTTGCTTACATATGTACATCTCAGCGAATAATTATGAGAATAACTACAAGCACAATGATAACAATGATAAGAATTAAAATGGTCGCAAATTCTTTAATCGCTTTCTTTTTCTTTCGTACAAATTGTAAACATAATTTCAATTTTGGTTCTTGTCTTCCATTCATTTCCAGTTTTGATGAAATTATCACTCTGTTATCAGACTTTTCCATTTCTTTTATCTGAAATAATGCAATTTGACATTTATGATTGAAACTAATAAATTTAGTCTAAAATTAATTAAAAAATTGCAATTAATTATGTGATCTTTGCAAAAAAAGCCATTTATTAAATTAATTTTCTTCTTTTATTATTGTTTGTATTTAATAGAAATAATTAATTATATTTTTCAGATAACAAAAATGTAAATTATGTTACAAAGAATTAAAAATTAAAACAGTACTGGCAGAATGAAAGAAATGATGCACGAAGTGATATCAGTACTATCAGTGATAACATGAATTGTTTGTCTTTTACCTCTCATGAATTTATGAGATCAAATGAATTAATCAATTGATCAAACTATCACTAATTGTTTCTCTTTTTTATGATTAATTCATTTTCAGAAAAATAAATTATTATTTTTTTCAATTTCTCAATTTAATAAACACAAAAAAAAAAATGAAAACTTTGACAATTTCACAAATTTAAAAAATAAGTTACCGACTAAATATTTGTCTTACCAAATTTTGAAATGCTAACAATAAATACTTGTTATAAAATACTTTTTATTGTTTATGTCTGTCATTTATCCAATTAAAAGAATAAAACTTACATCATCGTAAAAATTATCAATAACAATAATTATAATCAAAACAATAAATAATGTAGTAATAAAGGAAAATATTGACTTAAATGATTAGTTAAATCAACAATTTAAATACAAAAAAAAAAAAAAAATTGATAAAATCTTTACCTTTCTTTGTTGTAATTAGCAAATTGAACAACGTTTCAACTTTTTTTTGCTCAGAGAAACTGAAAAGAAATATTTTTGTTAGGAAAAATTGTTGTTTGACTGATTGTATTTGTTCAGCTTTACTGTTTTTTCCCATTTTTTTTTATTTTTGTTTACTGTCATTCGTTTCCTTCTCATTTTATTCTTTTTGTTATTTTCATTAAATAGTAATTATATTCAATATCATACATTGCAGAAATTAAATAATTTATGTTTTTTAATCATTTAAAAATATTTATAAAAAATTTGCTGCGAAAAAGCAAAGAAATAAAAACGATAAATCGTAATTTGATTAGATTAACAAAAATTTTTTCAAGTTCAATAAAACAAGAAAAATTATTATAATTTCTGAAAATTTAATTCTAATATTAAGTCATTAATATGTGTAATCATAAATTATATTTGTAAAATTAATAAATATATTTTTGAATATTTATTTTATATGTTTTTATAGCTTCTTTTTTGGAGGTAAATTTAAGAAATATCTGTCAAATTATGCTGGAAATTAGTTATAGCTTTGCTTTATCAGTGATTTGCTCATTCTGAAATCAGTATTTCAGGTTGATCTACCTAAAATATTCAAAATTATGTTTTTCATTTGTTTTTATTTGTTTGTTTGTTTTTTCTTTTTACTTTGGTACTTCACTGAAAACTGATATTTCATTCTGTTTCTCTTTATTTACGGTTTTTTTTCATTTTCTTGTTCCACAATTTCAGAGCAGCATGAAATGCAAATTTTGGTTTTACTTTGTTTTTTTTTTTTCAACAATTGTGTCGAAATGGAAATATTCAAATAATATGTGATATAAAACTTTAATCAAATAATTGAATAAGCTTTATTAGCTTTTTGCACTTTTTTATTTCCTTTTATTCATAAAAAAAATGAAAAACAAAATAATAACCAAATATTATAACAAAATTTTTAAAAATTTTGAATTAAAAAAAGAAATTGCATAAATTTCTTCTTATTTACACATTATTTTATCTTCAATTTTTTAATTTTTAAATTTTCACTTTTTATCAGACATTGATATAAGTACAATATATTTCGTTTTTCACAACAATGTTTTTATGAATTTTTTATAATAATTGATATTAAATTGCTTTTTTAAATTTAATTGGCATTTCATGTTTTAGTTTTTCAATTTAATTTCATATTTTTATAAATTATTGATATTTCATTTTTTTTACAAAAAAAAAACACACAAAGACTAAGCAATATTAACGGTACTAAAGATAAGTGACATCTGGCATTGATGTAATGTCCCCTATTTGTGATCATATTCTAAATGATACATAATTTTCAATTGGTTTGTTGACGATAATGGTGATGTGATTTTACCAGAAATTATAGCTCTCTTAAGAATTTAAAATTCATTCTAAATTGTGTAAAAGAGAGAAAAAGAAGGAAAGGAAATAAGTTTACTATTCATTGCTTATGAAATAAAAATAAATGTGAATTTAAAGAATCTTTTGTTTCTTTTTTTCAAATTATGTCATAATTTTATTATAATTTTAGTCTTTAATGAATTATAATCTACTGTACTTTTATGATTAAATATTTCATTTTTTTTTTTTTTTCTAATTTTTATTAGCAAAATGAAACTAATAATTATATTACTGTAATTCTTTTCTGCTCCATCTATTAAAAAAGTGTATTTATTCATTTTTGTTCATTTTAAAATATTATTGTTATTATGATTTAAGTAAGAATGTCAGATTATGTGGCAAACTTTATGGCAAATCGTTTTCAATTAATAAAATTGAAGGATATTTTGGATTAATTTAAGAAATAAGCAAAAAAAAAGGAAACAAAAAAAGTGGCAATAATTTCTTAATTAGAAAATTTAATTTGCTGATATTTGAGAAATTTAATGTATTCACTATTATTTTATTCAAGAGTGCGTTCTATTTAGCATAATTAATTGATTTGTAATGGGAAAACTTTTATCAGTAATTTATGCAAATTGATAAGCTATTATCAATTTATCAATTTCAAATACTCTTTTCTTGTTTCTTTTTTTTTTTTTCAAGTAATACAAACTGAAATAAAAACAAATAGAAAATAAATTTTAAATTGAAATCAGTTATTATTAACAATTTCGTTTCATTCATTTATTTATTAGTTTTTGCAATTAAAATGTTATCAAAACACTGTAAATGTGTGATATTAAAATTATTTATTATTGAATTTTTTGAATTATTTTGTTTATTAGTATAATAATAATTTGATATTATATATTCATTTTTCTTTTTTTCCGCTATACTTTTATCAGTTTGCTTTGATAATTTCTGATTACTGCAAAAAAGGGAACAAAAATATCTTTTTTTGATATCTCTTAGAATTGATGAAAGAGAGAGAGAGAGAGGGAGAGAGAGAGAAAGAGTGTGTGCTATTATTATTGCTTGAAGTGAAAATGAAAAAATTTGGATGAGAAAAGAAAAAAAAAGCGAATGATCGAAATAGCAAACTGTGAAAGGATAAAATCAGGGAAAGGGTTGACAAATCTGAGAGAGATCAAACATATATGTGTGTATTTGGCTGATGTAATCCCGAAGGGACGACAGTCATTTGGTGTCGCTGAAATGTTTGTCGCCGCAGAGGAGCAAGAAGTTTTCATGAATTTATAGGAGTTAAATGCAGGGATTGACAGAGAGATGCAACGATTTCTCTTATTTTAAAATAAATGTTTTGGCTGATATTTCAATCAACAAACTTCTCACATCGAATGCATATGTTATGCAAACATTTTGATGTATTTCAATTCTCTTCATGTACTTGTCATTAACTTTTGAAATTTGAAAGTAATCTTTCATTACAAAAATGCTTTTATGGAGCAAAAAAAGGAGAAATAATAATGAAAGTAATAATAATAACAATAATAATAGTAGTAATAATTAAAGTAATAATAATGATAAATTTTGTTAAGTTTACACGAAATCTTTATGAATTATAAGAGAAGATAGAATTAAAATCTGAAATGATTATGATTTTTTTATTAAGTCAATTTTTGTTTTAGTTTTTTGTTTGTCTCTAATGAAGAAAATTTTTAAAAATTTTTTAAGGTATTTCTGAGATAAAAACAAACTTTTAATTTTTTTTTTAATTTTTGCAAACAATTCCAACTGTGTAAGTTGTAAAAGAGAAAATTTAAAACAATCACAACCATATATATTATATAAATGGGATAAATTAAGATAAACAATATAAATTTAATCACATTTACTTTTTTCAAAAATATTAATAATATTAATGTAACAAATATGAGATATTTTCAACGATTATAATAAATAGCAAATATAATTAAATTAATGCTTACCACTTTTCCTTTTTTTTTTTAGCTGATTTAATAATGCACTTCAATTTTATTTTATTGCTAATGCTTATCATCAATTTCATGCCTTCTTAAAATGAATGCTTAACGGAATGGTTTAAAATTTCAAATATAGAAGATTTAGAAGCTAAAATGAAAAGATTAATCGCATTTTGAAATGTTCGATTTTAAAATGCTTACCATTTCAAAATGGGCAATCAGTTATGTCCAAGATGACATAAACCCTAAAATGGGTTCATATGTACCAGGGAGTACAGATTTCTTGCCTGATTAGCAAATTTACCACAAATGTAGTAGTAGTAGTAGTGACCAGTAGTGGTAGTGGTGGCAGTGGCATAGATTGGAGGTGATTAATTTATCATTCGTTTCAGTTGACAATTGACAACGAATAAGCATGGATGATATCAACATAATGTGTAATGTGTCACACATACACATACACATACATACATGCTTAACAAAATGTATATTCATTTCAACCATTCTGTTGATGGTGAAATGGAATGAAATTAAGCAGAGAGAGAGGAGATAAGCAAGCAAAGAGTGTGTGTGTGTGTGTGTGTGTGTGTGTATGTGTGTGTGTGTGTGTGTGTGTGTGTGTGTAATGGACGTTGAGCATTTTGAAAGTGATACGACGGAGAGTGACCGACTGACCGACCGATCGTTTCATCTTTAACATTTGAACGCAAATGTAATTCGTTGAGAAAGCATTTTGGTTTCAATGAGATATGAGTAAGATTGGAAGTGTTTAGATGGCGGTCAATGGACACAGTGAAATTTGGAATTTAATTAACTGAAAGAATTCATTTAGTTTAGTAGCAAAAGACATTAACTATGTAATAAATTTCAAAATTCTTCTCATTTGCAATAAAAAAAAACAGCGAAAGTGATTTCAAGAAAAACTGGAATAGATTATAGTAATGGTTTATTAATTTTGATATGTATATATGATTTACTGATGTGATAATATTATTGTTGTTTAAATTAATGCATTTATTATTTTCAGACGCAGAAAATTTGAAACCGAAATTAACTTTTGATGACAATTCTGAATAATATCGATTATAGCACTTGTATTTTCCAAAGAATTTTTCAATTTTTGAGTAATAAAAAAAAAAAAAATACAGCAAATTTCAAGAATATATTTCTAATTTAATGTGGTGTTTTCATAAATTTTTAAGTTTTAAAAACTCTCAAATTATTATTGTAACATAATTATTGTCGCCATTGCTGTTATTATTATTGCTATTACTTTTTTATTATTACATTGTCATTATGTGACGATGCCTTATTAAATAAACGGTTTTTGTTATCTCTTTTTTGAATTTTATTACTGTAACCGTTGAATTCATTCATAAGTAAAAATTTAAAAAAAAAAGAAATTAAAATATTTTTCAGAATATTCTTTTTTCCATCGTTTTCATTTCATTTCTTTCTTTTTTTTTTTTGCGAAAATATGCATTTTTATTAATAAAATGTAATACTATCAAACATTCCTTCGTCTTTTCTTTAATATTTTGTTATTTTTTTTTGCTTATTTTTTGTTGTTCGCTAATTTAAACTTTAACATTTAATCTTTTCTTTCTGTTTTGCACCTATCAAAATCTGCTAATTTGACAAATAATTTCATTAACAATAACTTTTGGTTAAACTGAAACAATAGTCTATTTGAAACTACTACCAACCCTAATACTGCCTTCCTGCTACCATTTAGATCAACCAACTAACCGAGTAACCAACCAACCTACCATCCAACCTACCAATCAACCAAGCAAGCAAGCAACCAAGCAACGAATCTACCAACCAATCAACCAAGCAAGCAAGCAACCAAGCAAGCAACCAAGCAACCAATCTACCAACCAATTAACTAAGCAACCAACCAACCAAACCAGCCGAAAGCATGCACATATCACTAAATATACAATTCCCTAATGCATCGTCGTTGTTCACTTCTTTCCATAACCATTACCAATTCACATTTTAATAAACTAAAATCGTCCATTTTCTTTTATTCTTTTCTTCAATTTTTTTCTTCCTCTCTTTTCACTCTCCAATTTTTCAGTACTATCTAACAAATATAAATAGTTTTTTTTTTTTTCATTTTCTTTTTTTTTTGTCACAAAAAAGTTAGCAATAAATTTTTATGTGAATTTGTTTTGTAGAATGAATGAATCAAGTAAAAGAAGGCTTCAAAAAGAAAAGAAAGATGAAGAAGGAAATTTAAAAAGAAAAAACTAAAAATAATTCAATTCACACACACACACACACACACACACACACACACACACACACACACACACACACACACACACACACACACACACACACACACACATACACACACACACACACACACACACACACACACACACACACACACACACACACACACACACACACACACACACACACATACTGCAACTCAACATACAGTAATCATTAGTCATTGATTGTTGCAGAATATAGATAGTAACACCTTTTGCACTTCTGTGAATTTTACAATTAAATTAAATTCATTTCTTTATTTTATGTTTCTTTTTTCTGTTGCACTCAATTATTTGTTGTTAAAAGATTTTTATTAAAATTATTACAAATTTCTATTATACAAAATGTTATGTGAAATGAAATTGCTATCAAATGTTCATTTTTCATTAATAAAATGGCAATAGAAAGAAAAAAGTAAGAAAACATCAATTATTATTGATATCATTGTATATTTATATTACTGTAGTTGAAATATTTATTTATTATCAATTGAATTTGATAATTTTTAAGAAAATCCCATTTTTTACTTTTTTTTGATTGTTTTTTTTACCGAAATTTTCTTCTGAAACAAATAAAATTTCAGTTCTAATATTTTATTTAGGCACTCTAAATGATTACCAAATTCATTCATTCCCTCGTGGATTTTTATTTAATTGATGTGTAAAGTCCATTATGGAAGACATTACATATCATTTAAATAAAGTGGGATTTGTTAGTTTTAATTTGAATTGGAAAGAAATAATTGAATAATACTTGCAAACTGTATTTTTCGGCATATATCTGTTATTCTGTTATTAATTAAGATTCTAATTACATAATTAGTTAATTAATAGAAAATCATACAGAAGCCACTAATTATAACCCAAATTTCAAATCTAAAAAAATTTCCAAATACTATCAATTTTAAACTTATCGTACAGTTACATAATTTCCACAAAAGAATCCGGCAGGAGAAACATTAAAAAACTCAATGTCAGAATATTGTTCACCCGGAAAAAATTCATTAATCCTGCAAGATAATCAGCATATTTTGATTAAATTACTTTAATTAAACTCTAACTTACTGAACTAATTTCGAAAAACTTTGTAAATATAAAAATGAAATAAAATCATTAAGTGATAATTTTTATTTAAAATTATTTAATAGTATATAACTTGTTGCAATAAAATTTAAAAATAATTTCAGCAAAATTTTCCTTTGTTTAGAAAAAAAATTTAAATATTGCATTGATATTTCAATAAACTTTTAATTAATTACTTTTATCTTTTCTTTTTCTAAGCAAATTGTTTTGCTTATTTATACTTCTTTTTTTGTTCTATTTTTATTCTTCAAAAATTTTACAATTAGACATATTTGTTTCCTATATTTACTGCTATCCATTTTCTTTTCTCAAACTTGGAAATTTTCAAGAAGAAAAAAAAAGGAAAAATGACATAAAAAATATTTTCCAATGTTTACTCTTATTTTACAATATTAAAATAAATAATTGTTCGTTATATTTTCTGAAGCTTTAAAATTTGAAATAGCATTTATCTAAGCTTATTTGATGCATAAAAGAGCGGTTCAAAAGATTTCAAAAAAAAAAAGAAAAGATGAAAAAGAAAAGGAAGAGAATGTCATAGTGATTAGCATAATGATCATCCGACAGCCTTCCACACTCTCTTCAGAGTGCTCAAGTCTCGAAAAGCATTGTAAATCTATGTTTAAGCCTAATAAAGCTTGTCCTCCACTTCTCTCCAACCTTTTTCATGGCTTATAGCCTAATACTTTCATATGGACTAATACTTTTAAGGCATGCGAGATTTTGCCATCAGATATTAGCGCAAAAGCCTTTTAAACGGAAAGAAAAAAAGCAATGCTTACCGTACTTTTCTAAATATTCTTTCTTCATCTCTTTTCATTGTTAATTTCATTTCTTTTCTTTTTTCACTTTTGTTTGCTTTTCCTTCCACATCATTAACAAAGTGATCCATTGATGGATGCTTATGAAAAGCGCAATGTTTTAATCCAATTCAATCGTTCTAAAATTTTGTTTTCTTGTTTTATTTTTTCCATCTTTCTTTTTCTTTTCACTTTCTCTCTTTTTTCTTTCAAAAAATTTTTAAAATAATTATTGTTTAAAAAAAGCAAAAAAATAAACAAATTCAAAAATATTTTTTATTAATGCTAATCATAGGAAATAAAATTCTGAATCAAATATTATTTACATTATTAAAATCAAAATCTCATCTATTTTTTTTTTTTTTTTGCTAATGATAAGAATATAGATGCAAAAAATTGTCAACGGTAGAAATTTACTGAAGAATAGTCAATTGAATTCAACTGAATACGATTATAGCGAAAAAGAAGTAAAACAAAGTTAAAATCATTTCAATTAATTGGTAATATCAGCAACAAAAAAAAAAGTTTATTAAATTTTTATATACATTTAATGACAATAAGTTAAAACAAATATTCATAGAAATTTCAAATTACAGACTTTTTAAAAAAACAATATATTATAAGGAAAAACCTAGTATTACTACAAATGTGTGCCATCATAAATTGAAAGTTCGAATATTACAAATATGCTAAAAAAGGAGAAATTTAAGTTGTTGAAAATATATCAGAAAGCAATTACAATTATAAAAAATAAATGACAAAATTCGTTGAAAGAAAGAAAATTGGATTTTTAGAGTAATGTGATGAAATGAAATTCACACTATCATAAGTATAGCTGTAAAGGAAATTCAGGTTGTGCTTGTCATGTCATGGAAATTTCAAATGCTAAAAGTAATGCTGTAGGGAATTTAAACATTCAATATGTTTGTTGATATGTCGTGAAGAATTGAGCTAATCTTATCATCATTATACTAGTATCCATTCATGACTTTATCACTGATAACGTTTCTCATATCAATTGCGATTAGTGTTTGAAAATTATCGATGATATACGGTTTGTTGAGTGTCATGAAAAATTCCAAAAAAAAAAGAACATTATATAATGGGGAATTTCCAGGCAAATTCACTGTATAATTTGAAATTTCAATAAGTGATTATTCAAACCAAAATATTATTTATAAGAATTTCATATATGAAAGATTGGAAAATTAATGCATAAATCATTATGCATATATGATTACACTGTACTGTAACAAATAAATAAATTTAAAATTTGAATTAAAAAAATATTAATTCAAGTAATATTTCATTAATGCAAATTTATAAATAAATCTCTAGTTTCTGTCGTCTACCATAAAAAAAAAAAAATTTGATTAATAATTTAAATACATTTTCAAGATAAAAATTTTGTTTGCATTCAAATTTACAAATCTTCGAAATAACTTTTTTTTTGGAAAAAAAAAGAAAGAATAGAAAAAAAAAAGAAAACACAATGCAAAATTAATTACCTGAAAATGTTTAAAATATTAACATGGATGAGCAATGCTTGTTGTTGTTGATTATTTGTTTATTTCTTCATCTCATTGCTTCTGTGTCGTTTGTCGTTCTTTCCTAATTGCTACCACCTTGTCATCCGTCAACCATACTCCAACATTCTCTCACTTAAATCTGTCTGTGACATTCTTTTTTCTGATATTTCAAAGCGTCAACACTTTTCTATGCTGTCGCATCATCCATTGAAGTAAACGGTCGGTGGCCTGTCAAATCCGCCCACTTTTGACAGCTCACCCAATGAACGATTTGTTGTGTGGTTTAAGTGTGATGCAGTAAGTAGTTCATTTCAAATGCAATTCATTCTTGAACTCACACCTCCTTCTCTCTTCTCTTTGCTTACTCTCTTTAATAAATTGGGATTTTAGTGATAAGTTGATAAGTCATACGCTGTAGCTAAATTAGATCAGATCAGATCAGATCAGATCAGTGATATTTGATATCTTGCTCATCAATCTTGCATTCATTTCATCGCATTATTATTATCATTGCTATTGGTACTACTATTTTCGTTATTATTTTCATTTTTGTTATTATTGTTGAAATTAATTGTTAAATAAATACTTTTTAAAAATGTAAGGTTTACAAATAAAAATTTTACAATTTTAATTTTAATATATTATTTTACTAAGATTTATAGAAGTTCCAAATGAGTGTAAACATTAGAAAATATTATTTAAACTTTATTTTAAACAGATTCTACCATTCGTTCTTATCCCTTTGTTTTCTTCTCCTTGTTCTTTATTTTTTCTTCTTTTTCTTTTTTGCATCGATCAATGTATATGGAAAAATTAATGAGCGATGAGTTTAAAGTGAGAGAAGAAAATGCTTAAAAGAAATGAAAAGAAAAAACATAAATGACATTAATAATAATAATTTTTTCTTTTTAAAGAAACATTGCAGAGAATATAAACGATCAATTGAATATTATTCTCTTTAATTATGGCTAGAAAAGGTGAGAAACGTTCCATAGACACACTACATGCAAATATTCCGGCATCCGGACACTTTCCGGATATTCCGCTTGATTTGGCAGCACGGAAACGATTCAAATTTATGATTGATCATTTGTTGGATACGGATGGTACATATGAAAAAGCTGAAAAAACGACAATTGCTGCAGGAACCAGTAATGATAGTAAGGATAATGCTGAGATGGACGAAGGTGAGAGTAGCATGGAACAGTTACCCAAAACTTCACCGTTACCCGGGAATTCTCATATACTTCAACATATCACATGTCGACTGGAAGGACGAGAATTGTGGAACAAATTTTATGAACTTAGCACCGAAATGATTATTACTAAAAGTGGACGGTAAGTTTGTCTTTGTTTCTTTTTTTCCTTTTAATTATTGTTTGAAAATAGTCACTCTTTATGATAAAATATCTTGTCTGATATAATCTAAAAAAAAAAAGCCAAGAAGATAGATTTAAAACATGAGACAAATAAAATAGACAACAGATTAAAGTAATGTCAAAATGTAATTTAAAGAATTAGTTGCAAATTGCACTGGTTAAAAAAGCATTAATTTTAAGAAATATATTAATTTTCCAAATATATTAATGGAAAATATAAGTGATAAAATTTTCAAGTAATTTCTTCAAATATTAATTTTATAATTTTGAATATTTTTAATTTAATGCAATGCTATTTGATCTTTCTTTAAATTCTCAATTTTCAACAAATGCCAGTTTCTTTATTTACTAATAAATATTACCTATTGCTAGCATTGATAATAATATCATTTCTCATTTATTCTAATAGTAGCACACATTGCTGATGCAAATTTTAGCTTAGGCAAATCATTTTTGTTTGTTTAAAATTAAAATAATGCTAAAAGAAACAGAAAAAGGAAGAAAATAGATTAATTGTTTCAACCATTTAAATTAATACATTAATTCAGGTATTCAAGATATAATATTATTCAATTTAAGAATTTTAGATATTTAAGAAATAAATGTTTTAAAAAAAATAAACAATTATAACTATCTTTCTATCTTAATTTCATGACAAATAACACTTATTAATATCACATGAATTGTTCATCAAATATGCAAAATGTGAGCATTTGTCGCTTATCTTATAGGTTTGATTGATTATTCATCCTTAATAAAATGAAATTTGCTTCATCTCAAATAATTAACAATGTGGTAGGTAATTTGATTTGTATTGAAATGCTTCCATAGGTGACAATTTATAGTATTACATTTTTGATGTCAACGAATGATTACGAGAGGAAGAATGAGGGGAAGCGGTAGTTGATCGGAAGTAAAATGAAAATGATAAAAGAAGAAAGAGCGCAAAGTGACCAAAAGGGAATTAGCATAAAAAGAATAACAAATAATTTTACTTTACATAACATTCATTTCTTAAGTAATTCAGTTAAAAGCATAGTAAAATGATGGCGCAATTTGCAAAATTGCTTTTATATCAATGCATTTTATCTCAATGCTGTTTTGATGCAATCCTAATTAAAGCTTAATTAAGTAAGCGACCAATAATTGCTAATGCAACAACAATGTTTAAAATTACGGTAGTTAAAAAAATGACTGACCGTATCAAATTGTAATGAATGGAATGAATTTGCTTACTTTTTTCATTGTTATAAAATTATAAATTAAATTTATGGCAAATTTTCTTTTTTTTTTTCAATAACATTTAAATAATCGAATATTCATTATTGAAGTAGTCAAAAAAAAAGAACTGAACAATAAGAAATGACTAAAATTAAATGAATAATTGAATACAAATTAATAGCATTGAAGCCATTCATGAATATAACTGAAAATCATTTACAAATAAAAAAAGTTCCTTTTTAATATAAAATTAAAAGTTCGTTTTTTTCTTTTCATCCTAATACTTTTTCCCTATTCTTAAACCACTGTTAAATTAAAAATTTTCAACATTTCTAAATTTAAAACTTTTTAAAGTTTAAATATTGATGCAATAATTTTCTCTCCATACTCTTTGATGATAATGATGACAATAAAAATGATAACATTGAAGCTTTCCAATCAATAAAAAAAAAATTTGTTATCTTTGCATCAATTTTTTCATTGTTAACTTTTCTCTTTTTTTCATTTCCAAAGCAAAACATTGAAACCTTTTTTTTTTCTTTAAAGTATATTAAATACGATTTATACTAATAAATGATCGATTTGATATTAGCAAAACAAATTTTTTTAATACTTATTATTATTACTAAAAATTAATCAAAAACATTGTCTCGCATTCGCCAACTTCCTGTAAAATATTTATTATTATTATTATAATTATCACTACTATTAATACTATTATCACATTACTTTCATTATTAATCATTATTATCTTTATCATAGTAATTATTATCATTGCATTTTACTGTATCGATAAATTTACAAATGCATTTTAATTTAATTTAACAAAAATCTTTTATTAATATAGCAAGCATGAATGCAGTAGATCTCGCATTTAATTGAACCATATTGATCGATCGTTACTGTCACCACCGCACGCCTTGACACTACTGTATCGTTGTCATCCTTGCATCCATCTCAATTCAAATTCATTCCAGCGACTTTGAATTTACTATTAATCACAGTATTAAATTTCTTATCTCGTAAATATTTTATTTTAATATGAAATTGTTTTATTTTTGGGCTAATGTAAGAATTGTATTGGAATCAGTTTAATACGTCACAAATTTAAAATATCAGCTGAAAAAGTAGGATAACACTCAACAAATTACTAACAAAAATCCTCTTATTTAGATTAATACATCTTTTTATATTAAAATCAAAAAAAAAAAAAATCATTAAGCTATTACCAATACGATTCTTAAAATAATTTCTTAAAAAAATGAGAAAAAAAAAGTAGAACAATATTCAACACAAATGGCTTAGAAATTAATTTATTAACTCATTTAATTTCACTCGTTTCAACTAATTTAAAATCTTAATTAAAATTTTTTGCAATCAATTCGATAAGGAAAAATCGAAAATCAATTTTTATGATTTCGTCTTTCTTTTCTGCCTTTCCTTCTTCAATTATATGCTATTTTAGTAAAATATTTATTTTACCATATGTTAACGAATAAAGTAATAAATTCTTTTCAAGAAATTATCGTCACAGTAAGTATTGCAACTATTATTGATTGATTCTACCAAATGACAGTAGCGCTCGTTTCGTGTGTTAATATATTCAAATTAGAAACTTACTGTTCTTTAAGTTATGAAATGTTTATTAGAATGAGTTAACTATTAAAAATTTCAAATGCATATTTTAAATAAATAAATAAATATATGTATGCAACGAGCAAATTTTATTAGTACTCATAAAAGTATATGAAATTGTGGGAAAAAGAAGTAGCTGAAAGTTAAGTTCCATTGAAAAATTAATTGATTAAGCACAAATTAAAAGAAAATAGCATTTGATCAAATTTATTAAATAAATTATAAATAAATTAACATTACTGCATTTCATTAATTTTTCTAGCATATAAACTAATTTAATTTTAATGCAAGGGGTTATGATACAATAAAAGAAATGAAAAATACAAACTTAATTAATTTATAACTTCCAATTATTCCTTACAATAATTCAATTACTTTTTGATTTACTGCTATTTTGCATACTTTATACAATTAAATATCACAAAGTTAAAAATTTTCTCCCTGCTTTATTTACAGCATACGGTAGCAATTCCTACAGTAGTTATAATACAGTAATGCTTCGTAACTGATTGAATGTTAATAAGAAATAGAAAATAAAATTCCAACTTTTTTTCATATTTGCAACAGAAAGAAAAAACTAAACGGAAAAAAAATGGTGGCATAATTTTAATTAAATATATTATTCATTTAATTACAACAAAATTAATTTAAACGATTTTTTTTTATTTCTTTCTTTCAAACAAATTCAGAAATATTTCTCCTTATTACTGTTATTATTACTATTATTATCACTAATATTACCATTATTATCATCATTCCTGCAACACATCTAATCTTTATCATTCATCAATGATAGCAATTAATGGCGAGATTTTTATGATCATAATCTATAAATAAATACACACATACACACACATGTATAGCATCTAATATAATGAATAAATAGATCATTGTTGTTGTTTGTTGTTGTTGCTATTGTTGTTGTTGATACATTAATCCTATCAATTATTGATGTAAAGATTTTTGTTAAAATATTATAAATTGTTAAGGTTGATTGTGGCAGTTGATAATAAATGGTTAGCAATGAGTTTGCATTGATAAATTCAAATTCAATTAATTTTAAAAAATCAAATTAATCAAAAATAAATTATCTATTGCTATGTATACTTAGAATGATATGGTTGAAATAATGGAAGTGAAAATGTTAATTGTTGAAAAAATGATAGTATAACTAATATATAATATTAAATTTGCGTTGGTGAATTGGAATTGAATTAATTGAAATGATTATATAATGCTAGGAAAGAATTCATTTTTTTTTATTACTTATTGAATAATCAGCAAATTAGTTGTAAAATATTTGAAAATTCTTTTTTAACTTATTTTCAGAAGTTTACAGAAATTATTTTAGACATAAATAAAAGCTTAAAAAATCAGCCTTAATTATAGACGTATGTTTCCGACGATGAAATTAAGTATTAGTGGTTGTGAACCGGATGTGTTTTATTACGTGTTTCTGGATGTAGTTCCGGTGGACAATCGACGTTACCGGTATATTTATAATAAGTCATCTTGGTTAACAGCCGGTAAAGCTGAACCTACACCTCGTAATCGATTGTATATGCATCCTGATTCTCCATTCACCGGTGAACAGGTTTCTAAATTTTTCCCCGCCACAGATCAATGATTAAAATAAAAAGAACTGATAGATTTAATTGTCATTAAAATTAACATTGAAATATTGAAAAAAAAAGCTAAATTGATATTTTTAGTGGTTTTTGTTATAGCTTTGCAATCAAGTTATATCATTTGAAAAAGCCAAACTGACCAATAATGAAGTTGACAAAACTGGACATGTAAGTTGTTTCCTTCAGTTAAAAAAAAATTTCGAATTATTAAATTTACTTAATAATGCATATGCTTACATTATCACCGTCAAATTAAACCAACTTTTAGCTAATTTTAAATTCAATGCACAAATATCAACCACGTATACATGTTGTGAGACGACCACGTGAGCGACCAATTGAACAGGTAATTTTATTTTCTCATCAAAATTTAATCCCAGAGGTATATTATTTAAATTATACTTTTTTAAAAGGTATTTTTTTTTAAGCAGTACATCCAGTGAATTTCAGAAAGACTAAACTTTTTATTCTTTGATTGTAATTCCATAATTTATTCTCATCAGTTAATCAAAATATGATCGATTCACATGTTTATGTTAAAAAAAAAAAATTCTCAGAATGATTACTTCAAAATTAAAGTCTAATTTTTTTTTTTCTTTTAGGAAAGCAAAAATTGTAGCTATTAATAAAATATAATTAAACTTCATTAGAAGCAGAAAATGAAAGAAAATTTTCTTTGTATTATTCTTCTTAGTTTTTTTTTTTATTTTTTGATCTTATCTTTGCACTCATTCTTCTAGGCTTTAACAATTGATTTGCACAACGAACATTACAAAACATTTCAATTTAAAGAAACTCAATTTATGGCTGTCACAGCATATCAAAATCAATTAATTACAAAGTTAAAAATTGAAAAAAATCCATTTGCGAAAGGTTTTCGTGATCCAAATGGACGTTCGCCAGAATATGATTTGTATGTTTTTTTCTTTTTTTAGTTTTTTGTTTTTATTTATGTTTTCATTAAATAATTTCAATTTATTTGTCAATTTCTTTTTTGTTCTTAAAACTTAAATATTGTAAAAATTTTGACTGAAAGTAATGCAATATATAATTATGTTTGAAAGGATTAATTAAGGTATTTATTTTAATTGATAATAAACAGAAATAAGTAAAAGAGATAAAATAATTATGATTGCATAATTGTAAAGTTATCACAAATTGCAATTTAAACAAAAAATTATTACTTAATCACATTTTTTCTATTAATATTCATTTATTAATTTGTTTATTGATTATTTATTTATTTATTTATCTGCTTATTTCCTTATTTGTTGATTCATTTATATCTTTGGAAAAATAAATTTTTAATGTTATTTTTAGGAATTTGTTCGTTGAAAAAGTTTAAAGGAAAGATTATAACAATTATGAAAGGAATAATTAATATAATTTAAACGAAATCTTTAGGGAAATTCGTAATGACAATGCACCAATGCTATTACCCAACTTGTATAGTCCAGCAATTATGCAACAAGCATTAATTCGTCAGTGTAAGATAATTTTATTTTAATTAATTATTTATTTTTTTATTTTTTATAAAATGAATCATCAATAAAACAAAGTTATAAGGTTAATAAAATAAGTTAATTTAGTAAAATAACTTAACTTTTTCTTCTCTTCGCTTTTTTTTTTTGCATATTTCTTGAAATTTATGTTTGAAAGCAATTTTGGAAGAAAAAAAAACAAACAACCAAATTTCCTGAAATTCACAAATTAAATTTCTTTCTAAAATAAATAAAGTAAGAAAAAAAGTAATTAGAATTATGGAAACACTTTTTATGTTATGTAAGTTAAACAAATTTAATTAGCTTATTTAAATTTCTAAAAATTTCTCACAAATATATTACATCAAGAATATTTCAAAAAATGAAATAATCATTTTCTAATTGTATAAACCGAAAATTTAATCGTATTTTATTTTATATTTAAAATTTTCTTCCTAATTCAAAAATTTCATCTATTTTTTTGTGTTACTCGCATTTACATATATTATAAAATGAAATGAAGCATACTTTTCATTTCTCTCTCTCTCTTTTTGTTTAATATAATTTAAAATTTAAATTGTTATTATTTTGTTATAGATTGGGCAGAAAAGATGCATTCACGTTTTGCATTACCGCCACAATTCATTTCACAAATGTTTTTTGCAAATATTACTGCTATACCTGTGTCAACCTCAACTTTACCTGTTGCTGCTGCAACTTGTCCACCGCGTTTAAATTTTGATCGCGATTTAATGCCATATAACATTACCACTACCACTACCACTACCACTACAACCACCACTACTACTACTACTACTACTGTTACTACAACAATTAGTACTATTAATACTACTACAACTACTAATACTAATAATACTGCTACAATTACTAATGTTAGTGCAATTGTGCAAGATAATCTGAAAAGGTTAACAGATGATCGACGTACTTCACTCATTTCATGATCACTTAAGTTTTTTCTTTTTTTTTTAATACGTGTTGTAATTAACGGTGAATAATCATTGCAGCAATCACAAATTGTAAATTTTGATTAAATTTTTAAAATAGGATAATAATAAAAGATTAAATTATTATATTGCTGAATTGAATTTAATGAGATATCGGTATAATTCATGAAAGAATATAAAAAAAATAAAGAAAAAAGGGAAAATTATTCATAATGATTGAATGTGCTAGGATAACACAACTGATAATGTATAAATCTTATGTGACAAAGTGACGAGAGTTTAACAAGTGATCGTTTTTTTGTTAAAATAAATTATTGACAATGTATTATTATTTATTTATACTCCTTATTATTGTTGATATTTTTTTATACTTTTTGATAATATCATATAAATATATTTTTGTAAATCGTAGAGTAATAAATAAATGTTATCGTCGATTTTTTTTTTTTTTTTTTTTTTTTTTGATATTTTCAAAGTCAGAATTTTACTTAAATTACAAACTTCACTCAATTTGTCGCATTTCCTTGCGAAAATAAATTCCTATTTGACATTGTTTACATAATTTCACTATTTGTATTAGTTAATTTCACAGTTTCTTTCTTTTTTTAACTTTTACATTAGCACAGAATGATGAGGTGCGGTCATTTTGCTATATTCTCATACATTCGGGAAATATTTCTTCTTTTTTCGTTTCATTTTTTGTTGAATTTTATATCTTTTCTTTGCATTGAAATTATAATTTACAATTTGTGGTGTATATGCTTGGTACGTTGATAGAATCTTTCATTTTTTCCTTTCTTTTTTTTTAGTTCAAATATTAAAAATTAATTTAACTGATAGCGAAATAAAACTAAATCAAATTTTGAGTCAATTTTTCTTGCTTGTTGTTGTTTTCTTTTTAATTGATTTGTATTTGTTTCATTTTTGATTTTTCATTTTTTTTTTTTTTTAAACACTGAAATTTAATTTTCTGAAATGCTCACCTTTCTTAATTAATTAAAATCAAACAAAACAAAACACTGTCATACAAAATTACATGATAATATTTTTATAAAATGAATTAAATTGTTCATAAAATAACAGCGATAAATAATTACATAAAAGATTAAATTTAGTTATAATTTATTTATTTGTTAGAAAAAAAAAAAAAGAAGAAAAACATTAAAGTTAAAAATAAATGAAAAATGTAAATGTTATAAAAAGAAATGAAGATTGAAAGGAAGAGAAAGGAGAGAGAGAGAGAGAGAGAGAGAGAGAAAGATAATTCAATATTGGAGACAAAATCGGAAAGTTATAATAGGTAATTTCGGTTTGATCAAAAGAATTGTTGTAAATAGAATTAAATCAAATTGATGCCAATATTAATTCTTTTCATCTATTCAACCAATAACTATCTCTCTCTTTTTTTGCTTCCATCATCTTATTTCTATTATCTCCATTTCTTCTCTTCTTTTCCCCTCTCTCTCTCTCTCTCCCTTCAATCAGTAATTATCCATATAACAGAATTACTACACCTACTAGCACACTTCTCGACCATTATCCCTTCCTCTACTCTGTCCCGTGAAGGACATTCTAAATTCATTTGCCCTGAAATGATTACGGTAATGAATTTTGAAGAGAAAAAATGTTTAAAATAGTTGAATGAAATATGCAATTTCTAAGATAAATTAAGAAAAATAAATTGAAATATACAAATATCTTTTCTGGACAATCCTTTAGGATATTTTAACATAAATGACTGAATGCCATTTAATTCATTCCATTTTCCTTCTTTGCCATAAATATTGGTTCAAATTTGTTAAATTATTCCAATACTAGCTAATTATGCATGTGCTACTAATTACAGAACTCATTATGTGCTTTATGTTTAGAAATAATATCAAAAAATGTAAACAATCCTTAAATAATGCTTCATACTATATTAAAGGGTTCTTTTTTTAGAACTAATGTTATTAATGACGAAAAGTTTATAAAAACTTTATAATTGTCGAAAAAAAAAAAAACCTTTTGCTTCTTACTACTTTAAGTATTTATTGAGTATTGTTAGAGTTATATAAAGAAATGTGTGAAAAGGATTGAATAAATCATAGAATGAAATCACTTGGTCATACTTTGTAATTGATTGTACTTGGCCATATTGTCCTGAAATGAATTCCATGTTTCTCACACTGGGCCTCTTGTCCTCATCCTAGTGACATCGGATGAAAGAGTACGAAGGGAGCAGAAAAGGACTTAGGAACATAAAAGTGTGAGAAGGTCATTCACAATGTATTGCCATCTGTTATTATTATACTCAAATAAAATCATTAATTTCGGCGCACCAATAAAATACACATACACACACACACACAAACATACACACACATACATATACATACATACATACATATATATACATACACACACATACATATATATACATACACATACATACATATATATACATACATCTATAATAAACATAAACAAATAGTTTGGAAATAATGAAATAACCAGATATATCTGACATTTCCCCCTTCATTTATTCACGATTTTCAAATAAACTAAAATTCCACTCACTTTAATTTTTATAAAACTTTTAAAAATTTGATAACAAATACCATAAAATATAACAAATTAAAATGGAGCTAAGAATTATGTATATACGTCAGTATAATAGGTTAGATCTAGTAATATCAGCAACAAGGAAGTTTCAATTCTCACGACACAATGAAATAAGTTGGAAATCATCGATGTCTTTATGTTGTATAATGCTTTTAGATGGATTTAACAAAAAAAAGGTGAAAAAACTGTTAAAGGTACATCTAAAATGTATTTTTAAAGAGAAATTATGAACAAATTATTTAGCTGATTAACAGCAAAAAAAAAAAAAAATCCTTTCATTAACCAACTGATTTATAAATGCGCATCATTTTATTGTGCGCTAATAAGTTATTTGAAATATAAAAGAATGAAAGTAAGAGATACATAAAAAAAAAAAATACATATATATACATTGTGTACACACAACTGTACGGAATAGCACTTGATCAGTTACAAATAATTGAATAGTTTTAGAGCTAAGTTAGAGCAAACTTTGGAGATGGACAGAATGGTATACGATGATAGCAAAGGCGCACGATGATAACACTGGGATACGTAACAATCGGATGAGACAATCAAAGTAAAAAACTTCACCGTATAAAAATGAGTACAACTAAGTGTACAGAGTAAGGCACGAAGTGAACAAAGTAGCTATGTGATCATGCAAACTTAAAAATCCCTATTTTTTTTTTCAGTGCCAACCAATTAGTACAAGGAAAATAACTTTCTGATAAATCAAAACATTGAAATCAAGTCTAGACACCTCAAAATGTGCTATTGATCATCATGAAAAATAACGCGTTAAAAACATCATAGACATTCAATATTGTTTCAAGAGCTAAAAGTTACTGAAATTAACATTGAAATATTAAAAATATAAACATTTCGTGAAGCAGTATAAAACACTGGATCGAGAAGTACAAGGCCAAGAAATTTATGTAAGCCCTATAATAAAGAAAAAAAGCTAGAGAAAGACAACATCAATTAACCAAAAAATGATAATATAACTATTTTTGTGCTCCATGTCCTTCAAATTAATGATGCTATGATTTAATTTTTGAGTTTTGATGGGTCATAAGTGAAATGTTTGATTAAAGTGAGCACAGAATGAGCAAGCTGTACAGCATCTGGATGAGCAAATCTTGAATTGACTAAACGCAAAAATTCTTCTCGTCCTCCTTGCGAAAGGAGTAACTTTATATAGTTATTTTGTCTGTCACTGATACACACATGTTGGATTGCCCATGCAGCCCACATTTGCGCTCCGGTTATACCATCCTGTTTCAGTAAAACAAAGAATGGTACAAATGACCTAAAAATAAAGTGTATATACTTGAATGAAAAAGTTTTAATGCAGGTCATTATTCAGTAAATTTCGTTGGCATATTTATCTACTAAATTCGTCCTTGTAAGCGAAAAAATAATAACAATTCTACTTCCTAGAACATAATGACCGATAAAATAATAATTTCCTCGTTGTCCTCGGGAAATTTCCAAAACAACTGTAAGACATTTTTCTTGGTAATCCAAAATAACAAAAACTACAGAAAAAAAGTAACAATTACCGATAGGCAACCATAGTTAGCAATGCTTTGGGCCATCTTTTTACTGCCATTATCTATAATGAAATGAAATAAGGCTAAAGGCAACTAAATATGTCAAAGACATAAAAAATAAAGTACAGTACTGAGTGTACTGCCAATTCACTCTAGTATGCCACTGTAATTTTTTAATATTTAAAATGTATTCACTGATTATTCAACCGTTATTACTGCATAAAAAAAAGAGTTGAAATTATAATAAGCCATTTTTCAGCTGAAAAGAAAAAAAGACCAACCAAGGATTGATTACAGTGATCCGATGTCGGTTCAAATGTCCATGGGCCACAGTCCAACAGATTTGCCAATATTCCAGCAGCGAAATACGAAACATCGATATGTCTTGCATTACCAACAGCCGCAGCGTAACTATCAGGTATCAGATCACTTTCCAGCAACTCTCTAAATAGCTTTGTTATTTTCGAGAAATACAATCTGCAAAACCAGCAAATTAAATTGATCTGTAGAATAGTGCATATCCTACTAAGAACCACTTGATACTTTTCATTTTAACTAAGAATCGTGTGACAACATCCGGAAATGCTTCATCACCTAAATACAAAATAAACTTACAGAACTGTCCGAATATATCGATGATGTACTATTCGCTTCTTCAGACCTCGTACTTCGGCAATGTTATTCTGAAACATAAAATGTATCACTATTTTATATATCATTCTCTGCTCGCCAATAAGAAAGAAATATGCATTGTGCATCTTAAAATTGGTTGTACTAGATTTTCAAATAAAAGTTAACCTTATATGTAGTTCTAGAATAGAAATTTGAAATTTTCATGATTATATTCATTTTATCTATCATCATCCCAGTTCTTATCAATCTGCATACAATGTTGCGGCATCCAGGTAAGGTTTGACAGAAAGTTATGAGTTATGCCACAATAAAGTGCTAAATGAATCAAACTATCTAGTATACAAAAAGACTAGATTTTGTATGCATGTCACAAAATACAAAATGCACTCACCAAAAGGCCAAGAACCTTGGTTTGTATATTTGTATTATTTTGATATTGTTCCAAAATGCCAAATGCTGCTGCAATTCCACCAAGCTGCACAAATAGTCGACATGTAACCGGTGATTCATCTAAAATAGATAAGAAAAATAAAAGTTCAATAGGAAGAAAATGATAGGTTAGCAGCTATGAGTTAACAAATAAACGCTCAAAATAAAAGATTCAAATAGCAGTTATCACTGTCAATACAAATTATTTTGTCCATCATTTTTTAAGTGCTTTTAATAATTTAAATTTCTGTACTTTCAGCCTCATGACAACGGTACGGAAATACACCTATCATATGTTGTACTATTGAATACATTATTCATATCACTAGTCGGGCTTTGAATTAGAAATCTAAAACCAAAACACTTGGCAGCAAAGTATCAGAATGACTAAAACATTTGGTGAGCTATGGCTCTATATATTTCATATTCAAATAAAAGTACCTGTCAAATTCCAGAGAGCAGATAGAGTAAATTTTACTGTGAAATTATTGAAATTATCGTGTCCATTGTCGGGATTGTCTAGATTTTCATTGATCATTTCAATCAAGTGCGCAACATATCGTTTATTTGTGGCTAAAAGATGACTTTGTTCGGTAGGCAATTTGGGAGCCAAAATTGATACAACTGCGATCGTCATTCTGCAACGGAAAAAGATAAAGAATTTCACTAAATTCCAGAAATAATAAAGAACAAAACTACATTCACGAATTTGGAACTACTAAGAAATCCGCAGGCACGAATTAATTTAATGGATTTTCTCATGTTGAAAATTTTCAAAAATTCTAGCTTATCGGGGTAAATTTGACAAGAAAATCTTTGCCCTTTTTCATTCTGATGATAGGAGCTCTACCTTGAAACTGAGGGATCTCGCGTGTTTACCATTGATTCTAAGGCTATTTCACACGTACGGAATATATCAAAATTTAGTGATTGTAATAAGTGATCGCTACATACCGTAAGCCATACATTCTTTTGCAGCTGAAAGTAAAAATTAATTTTCGATAGAAATTTAATGGATTAAAAGGTTAGTGGAGAAAAACTCTTTTTTGAAATACTCCTGAATTCTCACTCAGCAGGTAAGACTGTTTCCCAACAACAATAATAGCAAAAATCATACCTGGACCATCCGAGGATGATTTTCTGCTGCATCTAAGCATCGATCAACACAGCATCGCGTCTCTTGTGCGGTAAGTTGATTAATTCTTTTTGATCTACAAAAATTTACTTACTCTGCAAATACTATGAGAGTAATTAAACATTCAAAAGTAAATAAAGGTGAACAAAACATTCATTCTTACTTACGCGTTAATGACTCACTACGACTTGGCCAATACAATTCAGAACTTACTTGCAGAGGTGATAAAGGCAGGCACTCCCTGCCATCTGTATTGCAATGTTTTTTTTGTGATTAAGCATCGACAATACAACACCCTGAAAATGTCAGAAAAAGTTGCAATTGGAAATTTCCAAAAAAATTTCAATCGCCTATTGCAGATTTCATTTCATTTTTCAATTACTTTCTGTTAACTCAGTGAAATAAACAGCTAAACAAATAATTAAGACTGTAATAAAATTTTAATTATACATAAGAGGCATGTTAGGTCAAAAGTTTACCCGGACAGTAAGACGCAAATCAGCAGGCTGAAATTCATCATAAGAGGTTTGTAGAAGATAATATACGGCTTGTAATGCATGCGATGCAAAAGCTTCTCGATCTGGACGCCAATATCGTTGCAATGAAAGAAGACATTGAGCACGTGTGCCAGCATTAGCTATCTGTAGGGCAGATATTACAGATTCATAGCAAAAATTTTTAAAGAATACTCAGATATTTCATAAATTATAAAATAATCACACTAGCGCATTAATATCCAAAATTTTACTTGCAATGGTTTATCCCTTTCATACGGATAGTGATAAGGATGTCGATTTAAAGAAGTGTCCAAAATGGATACGTAGACCAAATGGGGATGTAGAGAGATGAACTTTGTAATATAATCAATAGCAGTTACAAGACTATGAAAATTTAATGCATTCCCAGCAACGTCCAAGAAGCGAAGACTTGGCCACCATGGTATGCCTGATGCTACGATATCACGGACTACCAATGTCCCTATATCAACTTCAAGCGGTTCACCAATGCTAAAGTAGTGATCATTTAATTGAGTGTAACAATCGCTAAAGTTAACTTTCGGAGGTGCATTCATTTAACTCGACATTCATTTAACATTTAACTAATAATTGAGCGCTCAACAGTTCTTGTATTTTCCCTTCGTTAAAACTTATAATATTTATATTCAAAAAAAAAAAAAAAATGAAACATATTTTTGTAATGCCCATATATTCTAGCTGCAGTGAAAACAATAAAGTTGATAAACATACCTGTTTGGTAATACATCAACTTTTTTATCGGATATATCTAGAAATTTTAACTTAGTAAGAAGTCGTAATGTATCCGCAGCACCATTTATTGTTATAGCACGAGAAAACCTAAGTCGATGCATTACAAGTACTTCCAAAGTGTCTCTGAAAATCGAACATTTTCCTTCGTTATTTTAACTGGAAAATATAAAATTATTCGTCTTACATAAATTAATTCAATAAAAAAAATTGGAAAACGACTTACTTCAAATTACTTAATGGGGCAATTGCTGTAATGATTGTTTGCGATAAATCAAGAACTCTCATATAACGCATCTCTTTGCACACCAATTTTAATTCAGCATCACCAAACGCCGGTGTTTCAGAAACAATTAAAGTTGTTAAATATTTCAAATCAGCTAAACAAGCTATACATGTTACTGGCGTTACACCTGAAAGTGAATAATCACAGAAAATTGCGGTAAAACGAAGTGAATTTTTGTTCCATTAGTTTACATATTAATTAGGCTTGCAATGATCTCAACAATTTCCATTCCATAAATCAGACTTTTTGGCAAAATAATAATCCACAGAAATCAAGGTGAAGTAGTAAAATTAAACCAATTTAGTCAAAATGTGTTCTTGAAAGAATTGATAAAACTTAGAAGTCATAATTTTATATGAATTTACCGGACATGTCAATGTATTCCAGCGACGTTAATGCATGGGGTCCAAGTAACTGTAAAATACCATGCAAATCACGAACAGAATCGGTAACTGAAGTGTCACGAATGGTAAGACGTTTTATTGGATGCATTCGTAACATTTCAATTGGCATTACCATCAACAAGGAATATGATAAATGTACCTGTAATTTAATTTCTACGAATTTTTTGTAGAATGTTTTGTCAACTATTAAATGCCAAAAAGAAATTATTGAGATAATGACAGAAGTCTAAACAAAAACTTATTTTGAGTTTCAATTATTTTTTTATGAAAGATATTTGATCTTCCATAAAATTTAAGGTATGAATCCTTTAAAAAATAATAAATGTATAGCATAGTAATAAGGCGACCCGAAATTGGTATTCTCTTAGCTTTTTCAAATTTTTTCTCAAAAATTAAAATGCATCTTAAAGAATGAACTGACAGCAACATAAAATTTGCATATGAACTTTCTGACGTAATGATAAAGGCAAAGAAAAGTTGACACTTAAAAATTTTTTAAATCAGTTTTACTACCTTTCTGCTTCTTTGAAAATCCAAATTTCTTTTGATAATAATTTCAATACAAACAATGCCAGTATCAATTTCAAAATAGATAATTCTGATCTGAACTCTACAAACCATTAATCAGTATCACCACTTTATAGATAGTCGAACCTCAGTTAGACGAAAACGCTTATCAAATAGTGCCATTGTTTTACCATTAAGCCAATTGTTGAAACGAAGCGTAGCCATCAACGAATCGGAAATTTCTGATGGCAGGGGACTATCAATAGATGGAAACCAGTGATATTCAAACATTGTTTTCGCAACTACCTGTAGCGATAATCGAAGTAACGATGACGGCGATGATTCTATACCTTCATCGTAGAAGCTGCTCGCCATTTTATTACACAATGAAATAATCTGAAATTAAATTTTAAGTGTGAACTTAGTTCCATTTTAATACGTTTTATATTTACACGTTGACAAAGCAGTAAAACTTTTTTTTTTGGCTAAAAGATTATAAACATATGCAGTGCTGGCGAAGTGAGAGATTTAAAAGTAATAATAGGATAACACTCATTTTTAAAAAATCAGAATATCACGTTAATACAAAATTAACCAGCTTTTGCTCAATCAAATTAATAACACCAAAAGTCTATTCCACTGTTTAATAGAAGATTATTTCATTTAAATTCAACTTGATTACGATTAAATATATCATTGCCAGTATCAATTACTTACTATTCCTCTACCTGTTTTAGTTATTATTGAAGTTCAATAATGTCACCAACAATTAACTGCAAACTAATTATCCAAATGTAGCAGGCATCGAAGTGCTTCACATTCAGTACCAACAAAACCGGACAAACACATCTCCCAGCATCCGGATTATAAACCCGGTAACTGAAACATAATCACAAAAGTTCGTATATTAAACTTTAATACGGTCCGTGGAAATTATGCACAACTTTGTTTGCTTATAACAATATTTTCCATTCATTTAGCAATATAATTTCCATTTTTTTTTTCAATTAAATTTGTTTGTTCATTTACATATTTAGTCGATTTTTTCCACTTTTTTTTTTTATTTGGCAGATTTTTATTAAACTTTTTTTCTTTGCTTTTTCATTTTTATATTTATTTGTTTGTTACTAAATTTTTATAACAAACTCAGTTCACATAAAAATGTGATAAAAATTAAGCGAAAAATGATTAAATCGTATGCATTAGTTAACGTATAGTTTAAGTTAAATATATTTATATATTATTTACTGCAAAATGTGACAATGTGATGTTTATTGTTTTATTAGTTTATTGGTTAATTTGTTTGTGAATTGTATAAGCATTTTCAATTCGTAGCATTGTAATCAAATGTGTTTGGATTGAATGTAAAACTACAATGCATTTGTTTCAAAATATAAATTGAATAATATGTTTTTTTTTTATTTTATATGTCATTATAAACGTTAGATTAAGTTATTATTTTTTAAATCATTGGATTCAAACCATAGATTTTTGTGCTTTAGATTATATCATTATATAATTTCAAATATGAATATAATAAATCCTATAAATAGTTTGATACTATATACATTGTACTAATTTTAATTTAGTTCATGAGAAGTTTAATATTTCCATGCACTTTTGCACTTATTATGAATAAAATGAATTGATTCCGTGAATGTTGTTCATAGTTAAACTATTATTTTTGAAGTCATTTAATAATTTTATTTTATTCTTTATGCATATAAATGCAGTATTCGTAACGCGTTTATTCTTTGACATTTTTTATTTTATTTTTCATTCATTTGTATTTTTTTGTTTCCTTTTCTTTTGTTCTTTTTTTTTTCTAGTGAAAACCAAGTTTTTATTTTATAAACATTAAATTTTCATTTTATAAACGTTAAATGATGGATGGTAGTTGTTGGTTTAGGAATGGAAAATCAGCGCTTTCAATCATTTTTGTTCATCTGATTATTGTGTAACATTCCATTTTGTACAATGATAAGAGTTGTATTCGTTTTCCTTTCAAGAATTATTTGTGCTTTAAATTTGTCGTAAAAAGGGAGAAAAAGGAGAAGAATGAACAAAAAAACTAACAGAAAAGTTTTATTTAATATTTGTTTGCTCCCTTATCTTTCGTCTTTCTGAGTTTTTTTTTAGTTGTAATTGATGAAATTTTTTTGTTTGTCTGTCAAAAAAGAAAATAAAAATAAAAGAAGGCTGACATAACAAAAAGGCGCTTTTTGTGCTTCATTCCCTTCATTTATATTAGTACGAAATCATATTAGCAGTTGTAGTATTAATTGTTACATTAGAAAATTATTTACTTTAGCGTATTATTACGTTACTTATCACTGCTTATCATTATCGTATTAATCATGTGCTGCGTGCCAGATTAAAAATTGACAAATTTATTAAATTTAGTCTGTTACCCAGTGCTAAATGTTATTTGCTTCCTTCTTTTTGATAATATTACATTTATAATCAATAAAATTTACAAGTGGCTAAATTACTGTGAAATATATCAGTAATTGTAGTCATATCGTTAATTTTATTCGTCTTATTGAAATAAGTCAATTTATGTTTTTTCTTTTTTATTTTCAGATTACATCATGTGAAATGTGCTGCTCATATTCATTAGACCGATAACAACATGATCAAAAAAAAATTGTTTAAATTCTTTTTGATTGCTCACTAATAATTTGACCGTAATATTTTTCTATAACAAAAGTTTTCATTCAATTAAACATTAATTTCTTGCTTCGTAATTAATAATTTAATATATTTTATTATTTCTCACTTGTTTATTTTTATGTTTTTTTTTTCTGTGCTTTATTTTCTTTCAAGATTAATGCAATTTATTATCTAACATGCTATTTTTGAATGATTAACACCGGTACTGCTCTGTTCAATATAATAATGTTTTTAGGAAAAATGAAGGAAAGATTAAAAATGGTATTTCGTAATATTTAAACTGTTCAATGAAGGAATTCTTTTCCTTTAATTTCATCAATTTTTAGTTCTTGTTCTTATTGTTAAAAATTAAATTTAAATTCTAAAGGATCGGTGTTTATTTTTTCTAGAAATAGGAGGAATTCACTGCTCTTTTTTTTCACTCTTGAAGGTTTTGAACTTTGCTTTTCTTTAATTTTAGTTATATTTTTTCACACCTATATTAAACTGTTCAAAAATTGTCTCAGCATTTTTTAGGATTTGGGATCAGCATGGGCTTACTAACGCTTGGGACGCCATTGTCATGGAATGAAATAGTACCCTACGTTGAATATATTAAAGTAAGCGTCGGATTTTATACTTTCGAAAACTGAAATATATATTTGCCTAATATGACTGAATTTCTCAGTATTTAAGTATGATAACAATGACATCGAACAACAGATCTGGTATTAGAGCAGTTCAAAATTATTATCTTTAAAGTTTTGAGCATCGAAGTTTATTTTTCTTTAATCCTACAAATTTGTTAACCGATATCGCTTTTTATGTTTAAAGAAAATACTTTTTTTTAGGGAAATAATTTAGTTTCTATGTGAAAAATAAACAAATTAGAATGATAATCAAATATAACTTTTCAAATTGAGGAACACGGTATTGCACAGTTCATTGCTCTGTATCATCGATTGAAAGGACGCGAAGGTGATCAGCTGAAATGGGGCGATGAAATTGAATATACAATTGTTAAGTTTGATGATGACGCAAAGAAGGTTAGTAGATTAAATTGTAAAATAGATAAAGCAATGCAGTTACAGAGGGAGAGGGAGAGAGAGAAAGGGAGGAAAACAACCTTTCTGAATCACTGATGTGTGACTTGAAAGCTCACTGATGGCATGTAATTTTTATCACTGATGAGCATATCAATGACGTTAATTGCTTGTTTAGATTAAGAAGTGATGTAATTCACTGAACACATTATGAGTATGTTGCAGCGCAATAGAATAAAAGGGTTCTTTTTTTTTTTGATAAGGCTTTTTAGGTTCGGGTAAGTTTACGGGCAGAAGAGCTTCTTAATCAATTGCAAGCTGGTGAAGAGTTGAATGCATTGTTGGGTAATGATAATTGTTGCTTATGGCGTCCAGAATTTGCTGCATACATGATTGAAGGAACACCGGGAGCACCATATGGAGGTTATTTATTCAATTTTCTCTGCGATCACGTGAAACTTTTTGGATGAGGAGCACGAGCAAGCTCATCATCTTGTACGTTTTATATTCTTCCAATGAGGAATTCTGCATATTATTTTTCAATATGAAGTAAATTACTAAAATTTATGAAACATGAAGAAATTTTCTACTACTGCAAGATCTTTTTTTTTTTTTTCTTTTCTGTGTTATTCTCGAATTTAGGCCTGTTAGCATGCTTTAATGTAGTGGAAAGTAACATGATATCTCGTCGAGCTGAAGTTACACGATTGTTAAAAGGTGACGAATCAGTTATGTCAATATCATTTCCATCTCTGGGTACACCAGATTTCACTTCACCTTCATATGAACCACGTCCTGATGGTGATAACAACTCTGGTTGTTCAATATTTTTCCCTGATGAAGCAATTTATGCAGGACATCCAAGGTATAAAATGTTGTTTTGCTGCGTTTAAGAATGTTATATTCAACATCACTTCAAATTATTCTTAGAAATTTTGAATTTTTTAAGTTCATTTCTTTCAAAATGAAAGATTATCTCATGTTGATGAAATAATAATATTTTCTTCCTTAAGATTTCGGAATTTGGTAAGAAATATCAAACAACGTCGTGGTGAAAAAGTTGCCATAAATGTACCAATATATAAAGATATCAATACACCTAATCCATATCAGGTATCCTTTTGACCATTCAGCAGTTATATAAGAATTTTGAAATCTTTCAGAGCTTGACCTATGGAATACATTACTTATTTCATATAAGCTTATTTCTTGTAATGCGTCAAGGTGCTTTTGTTTTTGGTACCTAATAGCAAGCATAGCAACCAGTGAAAATATCAATAAGCTTCATTTTTAATTCGTTCACTTAAAATGATTGATAGAATTTTCTCTAAAATCTGTCCCTGAAATGAAATTGACAGTATTTTGTAATTCACACATTGCAGTGTTTTTTTTTTTTTTTGTAATTTTAGGAAAATTTTGCGCAAGCAAAAGATGGTGGTCAATCTGCACGAGCAGCAAAACCAGATCATATTTATATGGATCATATGGGTTTTGGAATGGGTTGTTGTTGTTTGCAAGTCACTTTTCAAGTGATTTTTTCATTTTTTTTTTTTTCTCTCTCTCTAAGATTTACTTTTTTCAGGAAGAGAAAATTTGCATCTCACTTTTTTTCTCATAAAAAATAAGCAAAAATATACTAGTTTTGGTCTTTTTATAGCCTATATATGGCTATATTTTTTTTCAGCAATATGATACTTATTTTTATCAAATAAAAAATTTTTTAGTAAAAAATGAAAATTTAATAATTCTTGACCACAAATTAGCAGATACCAAAAAGCAGCTATTTATGTAAATGCGATAAGGAATCTCTCTTTAATTTTCTTTTTTTTTTTTAATTATATATATTTTTGTTAATTTAGGCTGTCAATATTGACGAAGCGAGATGGTTATATGACCAGTTGACACCAATAACGCCTGTATTACTGGCATTATCAGCTGCTACACCTGTTTTTCGATCACGATTGGCTGATGTTGATTCTCGTTGGGATGTCATATCAGCGGTAAGGTAGCTGCATGAATTCTGGAGTGAAATTTAGCTTATTATTTAAAAGTTCTTTGATTTTGATTCTGAATATATTTTTTGTTCATTATGAGGTTCTAGAATGAGTTTCTTTTTTAGATGCTTCGGAGTTTCATCTTTTTTTTTTCTTTTTTTTTGTGAAGAAAACGAGAAACCAATTTAAAAAAAAAAAAAAAAAAAAAAAAAAAAAGTGAAATAAGAATAAGAATAGTAGATTTTTAATCGGGCTCTCTACTGTTGCTTAGCATGAAGAAACGAAGAGAACTTATTTAACTTAGAAATTCATTTACGAATACAGAATGTATCGCTTAATTTTACGTTTGATTTGAAATATTTGTTTTTACATTCTAGAGTGTTGACGATCGTACAGCTGAGGAAAGAGGGTTACTTCCATTAAAGAATAATAAATTTGTATTGAAAAAAAGTCGATATGATACTACTGATTGTTATATCTATCCCTGTTCTGAATCGTAAGTCGTATTTGATGTTTATACTTAAATAGAGTGATGCAACTTTTATAACATTTTATTTTAAATTTATTCTTGTATACCTAGTTACTTGGAGGAGCACAATAGATTTTTTTTTTTTATATTTCAGTGATTTGTTGCTAATATTGTATTCTTTTAATTTTTAACTTTAATATTCGTGTTTTTATCTGTCGATGCTTTCGAAACATTTAGAACAGCTAAAAGTATGTAGTGTTAATTTTTTGTTCTTGTTAACTGCAATTCTTGTTATTAGTATAACAGAAATAAATATTCTATATTTCGAACACAGTTGTCATTTCAGATATAACGATATACCGCTTCAATATGACGACAAGATTTATAAGCAGTTAATAGATGGTGGAATTGATAACCTTCTTGCACAGCATGTTGCGCATATGTTTACTCGTGATCCTTTACAGGTAATAAGTAATAATTACAGCTTATAAACAAATTCAGTTTCTTTACTTTATTTATAAAAACTTTTTAGCATTTAAGGTAGAAATAATGTTCTGATTGCACTTGTACTGCTATTACTCAAAATCCTTATTTGATCTCTTTAATATGCTCATTACTTTCCAATGCTTTATAGGTATATCGTGAACGTATAGAGCAAGATGACATGAAGACAACTGAACATTTTGAAACAGTTCAAAGTTCAAATTGGATGAATATGCGTTTCAAACCACCTCCACCTGATTCAGAAATTGGCTGGCGTGTTGAATTTCGACCAACTGAAGTGCAACTAACAGATTTCGAAAATGCAGCTTACTGTTGTTTTGTTGTACTTTTAACAAGGTAGACTTAATGCTCTTCTGATGTTTGATAACATTTGAAACTATTTAATCCTTGAAGAAGAGATAGTGTTGAGAGAAAGAAAGGGAGTTAGACAGGAAAATTCGAGGATTTTGTAATCTTTAAGTGAGTAACCTGAATTTGCTTTCGATTAGTGAAAATTGCTGAAGGTTTGAAAGCTTTCATTGACTATAATTTACCTTCATCTAAGTGAGGCATTTGAACTTAGTTAGTTATTGTAAATTCTTCTCTGCATCGAAATCTAATACTATCTCAAGTTTATGATTTCGAAATGTTCTTAAGCAGTCGTATCATTTTTTTTTTTTTTTTTCTCTCTTTTATAAGGCAATTAAAATTCGAATTGAAGGAACAACGCCGCATAATTTTCAGGGTAATGATATCATTTCGTATCACTTTGATTTTGCCTATTTCTGTTGTTACGGAGAATATGAAACGTGCACAGCGTCGAAATGCCGTACTGGAACAAAAACTACTTTTCCGTAAACGTATTGCAACTTGCAATTCACCCCCATGTGCAAAGGGAGCTGGTTGTACACTCGATTCTGATGATGTGGTGGAGATGACTGTCAATGAAATCATCAACGGTTGGTATTTGAAGATTTGAATACGATTAATATTGATTAGATCATATTTGATCTGCAAATTATCCTTTTTAACAAAATATTTTGAGATTTATTGTGCTTTCCTAAGTAATTTATATTTGATGGCTTCATTTTGAGTTCTGTTATTCATTAGGTTGTAGTTATTAATTTTTAACAATCTTAATCACAATATACTTACTATATTATGATTTTCTCAAACGAACGTTGAAAAGGTGGTAGATGCTTAATACTTATTAGTCGTAAAATTACGATACAGAATAATCATTTCAGGGAGCGGTGAAGATTTTCCAGGATTAATACCACTAATGCGCCAATATTTAGATAGTGCTGATGTTGATGTGGATTCACGATGCACCGTATCTCAGTATTTAAGCTTTATACAGGTTGATTGATAGTGCTTACGAATGAGCCTGATTCTCTGTTTACTGAATCTTAAAAGTAATTTGACAAATTTTAGAAACGAGCTTCTGGCGAGCTGCAAACATTGGCTGCTTGGATGCGTGAGTTTATTTGTAAACATCCCGACTACAGACACGACTCATATGTAGGAGATCGTATTATCTACGACATGTTAAAAAAGGTTGGCCTTGTTGTAGCTTTCTACAAGTCGAATTTTTAATCTTTTCAGAAAACAGGCCAACATGTTTTAAATCTATTGCCAACATAACAGCTTATTTTTATCGTTAAATTATTTTTAAGTCTAATAACTTATCCTTAATGATCTTCTAGCTTTCATATGATAGTTTCGTTTGTATTGCGATTATGTTTTTATTACAGATGGATAGCATATCAAAAGGATTAGTGTGCTGTCCAGAGTTACTGGGTGATTATCGTACAAGGACAGATTCACGTATACCGATGGCAGTTCGTCGAGCCGAAGAAAATTTGATTGTGAGCCATAAACAAACTCAATAATTATATGGAGCATTAAATTTTGTAATTTCACAAGATTTTGATTTATTATGATTATATATTTGCAGTTTTTCTAATACACAGGTCATATTATTGTCCAATCGAAAAGCTCGAGCTTATTTTTAACTGTAATAGCAATGTTTTCCACTCTGTGTATTGTACGTATCATGTGAAAACAAGCGCTAGTTTTATTATGACTCAGGAATTCTGAAATTATAAATTTTCTGAGATCATTCATTTTATTTATCTTTTTTGTCTTTTTCATAATTATCTTTTGCAAAACCATGCAACACAAAATTTATTTAAGACACGCCTCCATAAAAAAGGCTTACAAATATTGGAAACATTTTTCATAATTGATGATAAGATAAAGTATTCACGTTGCATTAGGCATTATCGATTCTCATTATTTGTTTCAAAATATTTTTCTCCTTTTTTGCTCCATGCAAATTAATCCATTCAAAATTATCCAAAATTATGCAGAAATAAAGAGAAACTGTCACTTTTAAATCTTTTTTTGAGCAAAAAACAAGAAAACTATTGCGATGAAAGAAGTGTATCTTTTCATTTACCAAATGACTATTTGGTGCAAAGATTAGATATATTTTCATGTGATTGCATATGTGATAGTGTCATGGTTTCCTCTTTTTTTTTCTTTTAAAATAAAATCATTTAAGAGACTCCGAATGCAACTTAAATTTTCTTTTTAGTTCCTTTTTAGCTTCTTGTTTTTTGTTTTCCTTTTTTTCATTGCAAAACTGTTATAAAAGAGAAAAAAGGAATGCTAAGTTAAGGTTTGCAATCGATGAATGAAACGGAAAAGATGGAAAGAATTTTTAAAAAGCAAAGAAACATTTCCATCAAATTTTATTTAATTCTTAGAGGTGAAATAATAACATAGGAAAATGACACAGGGAATAATGGAATAATAAAATCATAGAATGAAAAATGAAAGAGAGAGAGAGGGAAGAGAGATGGATAAATGGACCGAACTATTTGCTTCTCGAAGAAATTACAATATTGATCACTGGGATGATTTCTGCTGAATAAAGATTGCGACTATAGTGTTATGCTGGTGAGATTTTAAATTCATTATTCATTAATTAATTATCGATTATTGTTATTTGTTAATTATTATTATTATTAATAGTAGGAGTAGTAGTAGTATTATCATTATTAATATTATTATATTTTAAGAGGACATGAGTAATACAAATGATGAAATAAAAGAGGGAGAGAGAGGGAGGTAGAGAGACAAATGGAGAAAAGGGAGATACGGGAATTGATAAGGCTTTTCGACGAAATTGAAATGCGATATATTTCATTTTTTGGTTTAATGAAGCGAAGATATCATAGTAGTTAAACTCAATGTCAAGCATAACTTCCATTAATATTATTGTCGTTTATGTAATTTTACCGCAAAAATTTTGGCAATTTAACTTAAAAAGTTATTACTCTCGGATTTAGATATAATATTTGAAATGTTATATGAAGTAGCACTCCAAAGTTTGATAATTGGCTGCATTATTGATATAATTGCAGTATTTAATGATTCATGGAATTACTTTTCGAAAATTAATTGCTCGAAATTTATCATCGTAGAATAATCTGCTATTTATCATTTTTCCTATAAACAATGATCAATCCATTTATTCCTAAAGTTTCATCATTTTTCCTCTTTTTTTTATCTTCTTTGATAAATTAAACAAAATGGTATCCATGCAATTATATGGCATATTTTGTCTTCAATTTCAGATGCATTTAGTTTAAATTTTTTTCATTAAACAAAAAGTAATTAATCATTTGAGCGAAGTTTTATATCGCTACGAGGTGTTCTTTCCTTAGTTATTTAAACAAGTCTGAAGACAAACTTTCCTTTTTCTTTCATTTTTATTTTCATCTTTTACACATTATGAAAAGAGTTGCACTTTTAATAAATTGAAATAGCGAAAGAAAGTAAATTGGAAAACAGAATGAAAAGAAATGTAATATAAATTGGTGAGCTGACTAAATTGACAATAGTCAGCTGGAAATAAAAAGAAAAATGCAAAAAAAACTTTAATCAAGAATTGATGATGAATGTAATATTCAACTAATCTTTTTTTTTCTTAATTCTCAAAGAAATCAATATTACAAAGAAAAAAAAAAAAACAGTTTATACAGGCAAGAATGATTCAAGAGACATTGAGCATAATTCTTATAAAAAGATGGAAAACAAAGGTATGAAAGTGAACAGATGCCATAATATGAAGAAATATGAGGTAAATGATGAAAATAACAAATTCTAATTCAGAATTTGCGCCTTTCTGCTTTTAATTAATTATATAAAGAAGCAGCTGTGATTGAATCATTCGTTATTGGTTGAATAAATTAGCATAAGTCCGAATCTTCGGGTTCAACTATTGGTGCCATATGTGATTCCTTAAATTAAATCGTTGTAAAATTTCTTTTCACTATTGTTTTTTCTTTTCCTAACTTTCAAAAAGGAACTTATTTTTTTGAGGTTTAACATAATATAATTTATTTTTTTTTTCGCTAAGTTTTATATTATTCAAAAGTTTGAAATAGTACTGAAAATTTTCAGGAAAACGATCGTCTTCCATCCATATTACATTGTAGTTGTATGTAAGTTAAACTGATTTAATTAAACATTTTAATAATACAATGTCCTAAAAAAGTGTATAAATTATTGTTGGAGTATTCAATAATTTGTATATCATTTCGATACATTTATTAATATTTGATAACTTTATATATCACAAACATATTATATAATACGTATACCTTTGAAATTTCAATTATATAATTTGTTGTAGTAAGAAAAAAGGGAAAAACAAAAAGAAAAAAACAACAAACAAAAAATGCGCAATGAATTGTAAACCTGTTGGATCGATTTGGTAAGTAAGTCGAAATTATTGCCAAATGCTTGATTAAGCATAATATTGGATGGTTCAATAGCAATCACGTGCGCTAAATGTAAACAGGTGGCGCAATGCATCCGCGACTTCCCTTCACGTCTTCTCGCAATCGAGCAGAAGCACAATTGAGAAACGATATTCCGGAAGAGCTATAGATGGAGGGAGTTATCACTGTCTTATCACTATATCATTGGTATCGTTATACATCACTGTCCTCTTATAGTAGTGAATTAATTAAATATTAAGAAAAAAACGGAAAAAATTTTTTAGCATATGATAAATAAGTATTACTCAGTAAAGTAATTAACAGTAATGTAACGTTTTTGTCTTCAATAATTTTTCATCTATTTTCTTTTTCTTTTTTTTACATTTTTTTGAAGAAAAACATCTTTCTAAACATATTATTGATAACTCTTAAATAGCTGTTTTAATTATAATATTAATTTGTTAATTACTATTCATTTTTAACTTTTTAATAACTTTGTTACATGAAAAACTGAATGAGTTAATTATAAAAATAAATTGTGGTGGGAAAATTGAAATAGAAAACTATTAGATAAATTATATCATATATACCTAGTAGTTTGAAACTTTTAAACAGTTATCCAGCAACTGAGAAATTTATTTTTAATCAATTATTTGAAAACTGAAAGTGCAACATTTGTTTTTAACGAGGAATACAGCTAATATTAATAAAAATGAAATGGTAAATATTAATGAGCAAGAACAGATTATAGTTTAAAATAAAAAGGAAAAGCAAATATTTTAGAAATTTTAGATATAAATACTGAAAATTTGCTTTAAAAATTGCAAAATATTCAATTGTATGTTTATAATTCATAATTTAGAAATTCAAAATTTTGAATTTTTAATTTTTATACAAATAATAGATCAGCAATCAAATGAAAGTACTATTTCTATTCAAAGATTAATTTTGGACAAATTCCTGAAATTATTAATGTCCATTAACTGATTCTCGGATCACTCAGTGCTGTTTCTTAATTCTTTTCTCTTTGTTCAGTGTGATGCCACCTGCTGCCACAGCAAAAATTGGTGGTAAATTAGTGAAATTAAAGAGTAGTCTGCTACAGATTCTTCTCTCTCTCTCTCTCTCCCTCTCCCTCTCCCTCTCTCTCTCTCATCTCCACTCCTATGTACTCTCGCCCTTTCCCTTTCTTTAATCGTTTTCTTCATTTTAATAATTTTTAATTTTTACTAAACTATGAATTTAGTTTATCAAATACATATAATATGAAATTTATTTTAGTAATAGTTTAAGTTTCTTTAAAAATTGATCAGATTTTATAACATTTTTCTTCATAAATTTTATTTCAGAATGAATGAAAAATATTATCTTCCAGCATAATATAATTCCGACAGTAAAATGAAAACATATTTATATCTTTCATAAATTCTTTTCCTAATGGTAGTAAACTTTCTTTTTAAAAAAAAAGTTTTTTATTGAGGGATAAAAATTTTTCCAATAATAGGAGTGTACTGATTTCTTTTAAACAAAAATAGAGAAGAAAATATTACAAGTGTTTCAAAGACAAGGATTTTATTTGAAATCTGCAAAAAGAAAAAAAAAGTGGAAAGAAAAACATTTGTTACTTTCTTCTTTAATTTTATCATTTCCAGTCTTTATGTTAACTTTGGTATATTTCAAAATGTAATTTGGATGGGAAATTTATTCCGTTCGGAAATAATTTAATTCTCATTGAAAAAACTCTTAAATTTTGCAAAATTTTTCAATCTCTGTTTGCAATTTTGATTATAAATATGTATTATTGGACGCGAAAAAAATCAATAATTAAATAAAAATTCCTCAATAAACCAAAAAAAGTTCGCATTATGTTTACATATTCATTATTTAGAATTTTTCATACTACTAAAAAATTTTTACGAGCAAAGAATTGAAAAAAAAAGCAACGGAAAACTTTACATTAACTTTATATGTCTGTGTACTTTGTATCAATCCAAATAGATTTAAATTCAAATGATTAACAGAACACAGATTGAATTTGCAGTATTGAATTAAAATATTAAATATTGCTGATAAAATCATATCATTTTCTATCCTATATTCTAAGTAAAATTGCCGATAATTTGTATAAGTATATGCCTAGAAATAGTATAAATTTATGCTATTTATTAACTTTGAAAAAAATTAAAAAGCAAAAAAGGGAAAAAGTAATTTTTTTCTTCTTTTGTAATTTAATTATTCAATTAGAGAAATCTTAAAAATTTGAAGTATTAGTTTCTATTATAAATTTACAATCGATGAAAATAAAAAGTTGAGTACATTGAAGTTGTTAAGAAACGACAAAAAAAGAATGTAAGAACACAAAAAATTCTCTTTTCGTTTTTGGCAATTATATGTTTCAATTTATAAATTAAAAATTATTAGAATTGCTGTTTACACAATCGTTGATAATAATTTTATTTAAAACATATTGGTTTGGTAGCAGTAAACAAAATTTTTCATGAAATGTTAAAACGTTATTTTATTACAACTAATATCATAAGAAATGAATTTCCTATTAATAACAGATAAAAATTAAACTGTATAGTGATACCATCGTAATGAAATGTGTATGATGAATATTTTCCGGATTTGCCTTCAACAAATTCGGTTACCTGTTTCATCCAGCACACAACATTTGTACATTATTTCGTTGATATGGTTTAATCCGGTTAATCCGCATGACTAGGTGACTTAAGTCATCTTTAGGTTAGGATGAAATTAAATAGTGCTACGATTAAATTCGAATCAAACAGCAACCTTTCGCGTCTGTTACAAATATGCGAGTACAACTCCCAATTATCAGCAAAATATTAATTCTCACAAAATTAAATTTCTTTGAAATATTAAATACCACAGTAACCAGTATAATCGTTATCATATCATCAATCAAATAAATCGATTTAAAATGTATCATAGTTCTATATCCTTTCAGATGATTATCACACGTAGTAGAAACTTTATTACTAGTTGCTTACTAAAACTGATCAGCACAATTATTTATTATTATCATTATTATTAATTAATTTATTATTATTATTATTATTATTATCATTGTTATTATTATCGTTATTATTATTACTATTGATTAATTATCATTATTTTTATCATCATTGTTATTTATTATTATTATATGCTATTTACTACTGTTCGTTACAATTACCACTATGTAATAATTATAATTATACAGCAACTAATCGGAGTGGTGTAAACTCTAACCATTATTGGTTATCATTAAAACTATAGTATCTTCCCGATTATTAGAAATCACAAAGAAGCATTAATGACATTGGTGATGAAAACAGCATTTGCTATTATGAATTTTTAATAAACAAAGAGAAATTACTGATGTTTAATTAAATAACAATAATCACAATAATAATAATAATAATAATAATAAGAATAAGAATAAGAATAATAATAATAAATGAATAATAATAATAAACCAAAAACGCTTGGGTAAAAAAGTCACAAAAATAGATTGTTAATTTTTAATAAATAAAAGATTTTTAAAAGATAATATTTAACAGATAATTTAAAAGATTCGCCATAGGGATAAATAATTCAAAAACTTCTTAAAAGCGACAATGTGAAATTTTGAAAAGTTAGCAGAGAAAATAAAACAACCTGATTGATCGGTTGTCAAACTTTTTCTACCAAGATAAGCTTTGAAATTTGAAAACTCTTCCTTACTCCATGACAGTATTACTCAAAAGCTTATTTCAAATAATTTTAAATCATTCTACTTGCAAACACGAATCTATTTTTATTCGAAAAATGACAGTCTGTTAAGCTGGACAGAAACAGCTAAAAGTTACATTTCAGATATTCGAATATTCACTAAATATGCCTTAATGAAATCACTATTCTAGACTACTTTTAGAGTCCTATTTTGCGATTATCTAATATACAATCAATCAAAGCTCTTATCAGATCAACAAGCAATCACAATGGCTTTGGTACTTAGTTAACGGAAGAAGTTTAAAAGCACTTCTTCCTAGCCACAAATACCTTTCCTATGTTCCTTCTTTTCACTATTTCCACCTCTTTCTCATTTCAAGTTCTCTGATCAATCTTTATCTTTTTCACTTTAAATAAATATATTGTTTATTAAATAAAGTATTTGGTCGAGTAAATAAATCAAAGTGATGATTAACTGGCAAATAAACAATGCCAATTTCATCTACATTCTTACTTTATCGTCAGCTAATAAAATTGATTTGATAATTTTTCTTAAACTCTATTCAAACATTAATCCACATGAAATAACTTGCTAACAATTTCATTTAAAATCTTATCAAATTCTGTTTAACATAACAATAAAGTGTATATAACAAATAAGATAAAATAAACCAAAGAATAGTTTGAACATACCTTCGGACTTGCGCATATAATAATAATAAACATCCATGCGATAAGAATACATAAGCCGAAAATGAAAATTTTATTCGCTTCCTTGTCAGTGTCCATTAGTTATCAAGATTATTATTATTATTATTATTATTTATTATTATTTATTATTATTTTATTATTATTATTATTATTATTATTAGTAGTAGTAGTAGTAGAATATTACTATTATAACAATAATAGTAAGAACAATATTTATTAATATAGTAATAACAACGAGAATAATAAGACAGTAATAATAAGCATAATAACAGTAATGCTATTAATAATAGTAATCATAATAACAATAATAATAGTTTTAATAGTGACAAAAATAATAGTAATAATAAGATAACAGTAAGTAGAATAATCCAAATGTCATAGTTAATTACTTTGGCAATGATAAGTATAGAAGTAATCAGCGAGATGGTCACTTTGCGCCACTTTCCTTAGCCATGGCAATAAGTTGTGATTGCGCACCCAGAGCACTTCAAAAGTAGCTTTGTCACTGATACTGCAGCTCGGATTCTTGTTGTCACACTACTGCTGCTGAGCCGATTACGGGCACTTTAAGTACTGGTATGTCTGTGTGTATGTGTGTATGCATGTGTGTATGTATGTATGTGTGTGTGTGTGTGTGTGTGTTGGTGGAGCTATCTGTTGATGACTTAAGCTTATATGAGCACTTCCGTCTATTCTTGCTTTACGAATGTTTTTTCCTTTCTTCTTTCCTAGGGTTTGTTGTTTACTTATTTAATTTTTGGGTAAACAAAAGTGAGAAGGAGCAGCAGGGTGGGAAGAAGACGAGTAATAGTAGATTTGCCATATCCGAAAAAAGTTAAAGAGAGAACTGAATTAATGGAAAATGAATTAAAAAGAGAAAGAGAACGAAAGATTGAGTAAGAGGAAAGAGCATTCAAAGATAATTCTAACAGATCTATTAGTTTATTTTGAGACAGCTCTTTTATTTATTCCAATTTTAATTACAAAAATTTAAGCCTATTATCTGATTCATACTGCAATTAACTTCTCCTTTTTCATCTTTATATTTTCCATTTTTTTATTTAAAAAGATGGCTAAAAATATCCCAGCAATGATGGCGAAAGTAATATGAAATGAATATTTGAAGAGAAAGGCAAATAATAATACCTTTTTCCTCATCCTCAAATATGGGTTCAGCAAGCAGTAAGTAATGTATTTACTTAAAGTTAGCACAGCGATGTATATTCTGCTTTTATGCATTACCATAAATGGAAAGAAGAAATTAGCTTTTCAATTCTTAGCTTATGATATCGAGAGTGATTGACAGATGGATGTGAGCAAAATATATGAAAGTGAAGGTTTCAGAGTTATTTACACTGCGTTCAATACGTCATTCTCGAAAAGAAGTGGTAATGACGTAAAACGAAGACCGATTCTCATATATATAAACTTCCAGAAATGCATATGTATATAGCTGCAAACTTTTCTGCTACCATTTCTGAGAGTTACTCAAGCGTAAATGACGTGCAGTTCACATTTATATGAACAAAACTGTTAGATACATTAGAAGAAGGAATGAAACTCCCAAAAAAGTTCAGACTCACAAGTGATCAGCACACACTAACGTGTTCATCTCGATAGTCGTAATCAGTTCACTAACGTGTTCATCTCGATAGTCGTAATCAGTTCACTAACGTGTTCATCTCGATAGTCGTAATCAGTTCACTAACGTGTTCATCTCGATAGTCGTAATCAGTTCACTAACGTGTTCATCTCGATAGTCGTAATCAGTTCACTAACGTGTTCATCTCGATAGTCGTAATCAGTTCACTAACGTGTTCATCTCGATAGTCGTAATCAGTTCACTAACGTGTTCATCTCGATAGTCGTAATCAGTTCACTAACGTGTTCATCTCGATAGTCGTAATCAGTTCACTAACGTGTTCATCTCGATAGTCGTAATCAGTTCACTAACGTGTTCATCTCGATAGTCGTAATCAATTCTTTACAGCTTGGAAATTTTGTCAGTTAGCAAATTTTCTAAACATTGAACGTTAGTTCGTTTTTTAAATAGAATTTCCGAAGCATTTCTCCACCAAAAACAACTTACAATCTGTTTACTGGTACTGCTCATCTTAAATTCGTATTATATTAATAAAAATTCAATAACCTTACTACATCAATTGAAATGCTTAGGCTAAACTCTTCGAATTTCTGTCTGTTCCTGACCCCACGACAAACTTACAATTAATATGTTAATTGATATCATAAAATGTCAACAAATAGTGAGCATTAGATGTAAGACATTAAAATAAATTAATAATTATCAGCTCTCCTCAAGTTGCATTATTATTTGCTATTTGATAATTTTGTCGCAACAGCTAGCTATTACACCTGACAAATTTTTTAATTTCTATTCTTGAAAAACAGGACATTTCCAATTGATAAATTCATTTTGGATAGAATTTTTACTCAGGTGAAACAATTTAATTGCTAATAATACATCGATAACCGTTGACAACTGATAATAATTATATATAATAAAGAAAACTCTACTCTTGCTTGTCGATTAAATCTTCTTGAAATGCTAATTAGCAAACTACGAGTTCAATAGACTCTCTTTTCAATTCTGACATGAGCAAAAAGAAATTCTTCCTTTTTCTAATCTCTATAAGTCCGTACTATATATACTTTATATTACATACAGTTATGATGTATCCACAATACAGTATCCAACGTTTGGAAAATACTGTAACGACTGTCTTTTTAAACAAATTTTGAAAATCGATGCTTACTTGCAGAACTATTCAGATTCTTGTTGCACTGCGAAAAGTCAATTTATTAATTATATGTAAAAATAACAACCAAAGTAATTCCTACTTGCAAAAATATCAGGAACAAAGTAGAAAAAACAAAAACCTGTACTAATAGAAGGCACTTCGAAAATTTTAACACCTAACAATACATTAATAAAAAATAGTAGCTAAAAATAATAATTAGCAATACTACTACTAGTAATAATAATAATAATAATAATAATAATAATAAGAGGAAAAGGGAGAGATTAAAAGTTGGAAAACGTTTTTGCAACTGCAAGAAATGATCTCAGGTTTAAAGATCTAAAAATTCGATAATGTAGCTCAGAAGAACTCCTATCAATTGTCATCATTTATATCAAATTAAACCTTAAAAAGGCAATTGGAATGATTAAGATCGTTTGGGTATTAATTGTAAAAGCATAATTATGATAGCTAACTGATCAATAAATAATTATGATAGCTAATTGATCAATGATAGTTTATTGAAGTGGTATAGAGACTAGACTATTGCAAACATGCCATTAATCTATAAGAAACAATTATGGGAAATAACCGTAATTAGTAGTTAAAGAATACAAGATAATCAATCGAACGAAAATACAGCTAAACATAAAACATAAGTTTAAATAACTGTTTGCACAATAATTATGTGACAATGAATAGTAAATGATTATCTGATTACAGCTTAATGACTAACTATATATGGGACAGAAGTTATGATCTAAATAAGGGGAATATAAACTAATGATTTGCTATCTACGAATGTTTCTATCGTAGATAGTACAATAACGAAATCTTAAGAAAGAGAGCTCATTTCCTCTTTTTTTCGCATTTTCTTTGCAAGTGAAGGAATAGATACAAAACAAGCAGAATTAACAAATGATTTAAGAATTTGTATATAATTAAAAAAAAAGAGAAAAAGAAAGAATGGAAGGAAGTAAAAGTGTACCATTTTTGATAATAGGGAATAGATATGAGCAATATGAACGAAAGTTTATTTTACATTTAATAAAGAATACCCAATATTTAAAAGAATATTCAAATTATCAAAGATACATTTAAAAGAATGTCACAAAACTATCTCATCAAACTGACTTGAGTCACAAAAGTCGAATGTTACGGCAAGTGTCAAAACAGTTCATTAAATAGAATACATAATTAGCCATGATATCAAAAACGCAATAAATCATAATGACAAGAGAATTTCATTAATACTATAATGTTACGACCACAGAAATTCCAGGAGGGACAGATTCAGCTTAGTGTTTGCGATGTACGTAATAAGCAATGAAAGTATTTTTCCCTATTTCCCTCGAAATTTTGAATTTAAAACCAGTTCGTTAGCTCACTTTAATGAGCATATCATTTGGATACCATTTGAATTAATCACAGAAAAATCCTGAATGGCGCAATAAAAATCTAGTAATACCAGAATTTTACAGAAACTCTGCATAATACGTTAACTACTGAAAAACAACATTTAGGAGAAATACTAACTAAGCCTAAAGAAATCTGTTCGTTACTACAAAACATTAAATAATTCGAATAAGCTAAAACGAACAGGAAAACAAATAAATGATATTGCAGAGCACTAGCATCTATGCGCTATTATAAAAAACGACCTACTCGATGAAATAGTTTCATTTCTAATTACAACAAAAAGGACATATGTGTAGGAGCTTTTATGATTTTGTGTTATCATGAACATTATGGATCCTTTCGAGAAGATGATAGTTACCGTAAACATTGTTAGAACCGGTTATAAATGGGATATAAAATGAGCGATAAACCGGATGAGAATAAGATGACAGCAGAAATTTTTTCTTCACTACCGAGCGCCAAATGTTTGTCTATAAATTGTGTGAAACACTTATTGTAATGGAATTAAATTAGCTACTAGATTCTCAATCAGATTTCAGTATTGCGTTTTCAGCGAAAAAGGAAATTATACATGCAATTTCATTTGCGATTTATTCTATGACAAAATCATTTTGTGAGAATTATTTAGCTACAATTATTGACAATAATTATAAATAGTCACGTGCACGCTACTAAAAACAATGAAAATCGATTAAGGAAATGAAAAATATGAAAATAAAGGGAACCTTACTTGTTCCGCATAATTGGGCTCAAGTACAGTAGTGTCCAAAGTTTCTAAATCAATCAAAAAATCACACTGTCCAATATCTATATACCTGAAAATATGGATTCAACATAAAATTTTCAAATAGATTCAACAAAGAATTTCGAAGACTTTCAAAGATATATCAGTATGAACAAATTTGATGGAGCTGCAACGATTTCTAACTAGTATTAAATCGTATGTATGACTGAAAATGATCGCGCGGAAAAGCCAATTAAACCAACAGAGAAAATACTTATTCCTTGGTTATTATTATACAACACTAACCAACAATTATATTTCATTATAATTTCATACTATTTAATTTTTTTTTATTGCAATGTCCAAAGACTTTAATAAAAGAAGAAAAAAAAAATAAGTCTGAACATAAATTCAGAAATTTATACCAAGAGTACAGTACTACTAACCGACTAATTTCTTCCCGATTGAGATCGTTCATATCTGTTGGTATAACACGTGTGACTTCGGGCAAAAAACCTTTCATATATGGTTTTGGTAGCAAACCAGTAAATTCGCTTTTTATGAAATTCAATTCCGCAACCAGTACTTGATTTTTCTTGTTTTTAATACCGGATGGTAGAAAGAAAGAAGATGGAAATCGATACCATTCCTTACCGATACAAATATGTATCACCATGCTATTCTAAAAACGCAAAATTATTTTCCATATAGTTGTTAAATTTTGAACAAAATTTAAACAAATGTTAAATTTAAACAAACTGCCTAACCTGGGAATAATCATGATAAATTTTGTAAAGTTTATTTTTGAAGATTTTTATTATTCGACTATTACCAACGCTAACAAAAATTAGCAAAAATTTAAATAAAGAAATTTTTTACCAACTTTTACAAAAAAGAAAGTTAATACCTTACATTTAAATATCCCAGCACTTCGTTTTATGAACATTAAGAGCTATTTCTATCAGTTAATTAAAAACCTACATTTTCAGCACTAAATAATTCATTATGATTAGTGTAATTAAGCATATGTTTGTCGAGCACTTTGTAAAGTTCCACTGGAGAGAAGAAATTCCGATAAAGTGCAGCTGAACGGGAAACAGACATAACCGAGAATATCATCAACCATCCAATAACGCATGCTTGCCAAAAGCTTCGTGATCTACCACCAAGCAGATAAATGCCAACTCTGAAATGATTACTAAGCAAAAAGTAGTTGGAAATAATTTGAAAAAAAGGACGAAGAAAGTAAATAAACAGTAAATAAAAGAAAGATCAGAGAATAAAACATTCTAAACATAATATCAGGTAAAGAAGTTACCGAGGCAAAGCATCAAGTGTAACGGCTGCTAAAACAGCTAAAAGAGGATAAACTGGGAACAAAAACCGTTCCTCTTTATGAGGTTGCAAGAAAAATACTGCAAACCACAGCATAACTGATAGGAAAATAAAAAGAACTGGTAAAAAACGTCTCCAATAAACCAATGACATCTCTGTAAAAATTGAATTGAATTTAATTCAAATTTCATCAAAGAAAGATATTTTTTTTAAAGCATATTTAAAAAAATAGCGATATGATAGCAACTGCATCCATAGTCAACTTAAAGTTATATGATTTCATATAGCTTTAACAGTTCAGTGGAAAACTAAATTCAAACCACTGAAAACAGTAACACAAAAGTAAGAAATCAGCTCTTAAAATGGCAATTATCGAAATGACCTCGAGCTATGCAGTGAACTAATTGCCGAGATGAACGTGTCAAAACATATGCCAAGCCTGCAAACGGTACCGAAAACGGAAATAGGATAATAATAACATTCCAGTTAAGCAATAAATTCTTGATGTAAAATTTTACATCTTCAATACCATACAGGTTTGGTCCATGTGAGGAAAATACATTGTACAGAACAATGTTTAACGGAGCCTAAAAATGATGCCAAAACCAATTATAAAATCTTCAAAATTTTTTGAAATGCTTCAAATGTGAACTGTTTTTAAAATAAAATTTGAAAAATCGGATGTATGAAAGAAAAACAAATTTTTTTGGGACATTATTTGTAATGTATATTAGCCATGGTTATTTGGACAAATTTGCACAAGTCAAAAAAACTCATAATAATTCTTTTTAATGCAAACAGATCAGGGGTCAATCCAAAACAAAACATTATATTCTAAAACAAAAAAACAAAATAAAGATAAAATATTATAGTCTAAAAAAGTAGCAATGAAATAATGTAATGCATTTTTTAATAAATACAAGATTGAACTCACCAAAACGATCTTACCAAAGTAATATGCATCAACAGTAACCAATGCTATAACGATAGTGGAACCAGCAATTAATGCATAATTACAAAAGGTAAATGCTAATTCACGAGGTCGAACAACTAACATTTCCAGAACAATCGGTAAACCAAGTATGGCTGCAAATGGCCAACTAACCAATGCACTCACCGCGGTAAACGATATTGCTAGCAACCTAGAAGCAAAATTCAAAAAATATTTATTATCAAGTTTCAAAAATAAACTATTTCAACAAGATGTATAATTAGTGTGACTCTCAGAACTATCATTATGCCTAAACTCAAAATTACTGCATATTTCAAATCAAGATGTAGTTACTGGTACATGTTTTCTCCTAACAAATTAAAAGAAAACGAGTGTTGACTGTAAATTAAACACATGCTGAATTCTAATTTATAAATTTAATTCCCCAAATATATTCCTTTTTTTTTGTTAACACAAAATAGAATATATTTGAAAGAATATCTAGATTAGCAAACTAAATGAAAAGGAACCATTCTTCATTGATGTATGCTGCAATAGCAAACAAATTTGCTGACATACTGAATGATGATGGAAGAAATGCACAGCTGAAATATCTAGTTTTTCACCAGTTGTCGTGTATAAGATATGCAATTCAATAAAGCTAATTTAATTTAAGTTTTAATTTAACTTAAATCTTGCATTTCTTACCTAAATTTCTGGAAATAGCATTATCAAAGAAATGATCTAAAAAGAGTATTTTCTCTAAGTATGTAAATAACTAGCACTGAACCTAAATTAATTATTTTTTTTTTTTTTTTTTATTAAATGTTAAAAATATATTTATTAAATGCTAAAAAGAAATAACATGCTTTCTTATTAAATTAATATATAATCTGATTCAGTATGCTATTTATTTTTTTCATAGAGTGGAAAAAAAGTTCTATTTCTGTTTCATTTTCATAATTTTTATGGTTTTAAATGATATTTAAAATATACCCACATTTTAAAGTTAAAAGTACTGCAAAAAGAATCATCAAATTCTTCAATGCAAATTTCAAAGAAAACGAAAATTTTCAATAAATAACCCCGAAAACTAAACCTTTTTGATTAGTATTACGAAGAAAGTAAAACCTTGCGATGAACATTCCAGCTGAAAGTGATGTTAACACAACATATATTCGAGCAATACCGTTTCCGAACCGTGAACAAAGTGCTTTATACATTTTTATTTCAGCACCTACATTAAACAATCCCAGTACGCAACGCATTGTAATGAAAACGCTCGATTTGTTAGCAAAAAATATTGTTTTCAGTATTGCAGCGGGTCCATAATGCATTAATATGTATAAATATGATCTGAAATTTGAGTCACCTTTAAAAATATCCTGACCAAAGCTCCCGCTTACGTAATAATACAAACAAATAGTGACAGACATTAATAAAAAAGAAAACAAAAACCATGAATAAGTAACAACTGATAACATTGTAAATGATGTTGTTCTAACTGGTACTCATCACTTCAGTTAAAACAAGATCATTCACCACGTTATCAATGTTGGACTTTGAAGACGGTTAGAAAAATGACTTGAACAGCTAATCATCTAAGAAGAGCGTTACGACTTAGCTGCAATTGTGCGGTTGGTTTTTAAGAATATTGAAATGGTGATATGTTATAAGTAAACAAATATAATGTAGTAACATGTGCTATATAATACAATCGAAGGAATGTGAATGATTTACATCACTGACCATTTCAGGTAAGCCAGTTCTGTTCAAGCTATTGATATTTTGTCTTTGGCATATATTTATCATCAGCAGTGCAGAAGTTTTATCAAAGACTGAATAATGTTCATAGATTCTGGAGATAGAAAAGAACGGCTACTTATGAATACTAACTATACTTATGTAATTCGGTGCTCTGGACTATTGGGATATGATCCGAAAATGAGTAGTTTTCATCAGTTCCTGCTAATCTGAATATAGAACGAACCGTATAGCATAAACAGGTGAGTATTCCCAAGTCTGAAAACCGGTACCGTAGAGAAATAAATGAAGCGGCTCCCAGTAATTGTATACTTCATCGCAATCACTTATTATACTCCACATTGCGGCGGAAATTCTAACGGAAAATACAATCTGAAAAAAAAAAAAAAAAAAAAAAAAAGAAAAACTAGTGGTAGGACAAATTTTTTTAATCACTAAATTACTGTTATGTTGAAATAACACTTTCAAATGAAATTACTTTCCAAAGATCTTACAGAGAAAATGGATGGTCGAATGATCCGTATGTATGGATTTCCCGTGAATGTTAAACAAATCTCACAAAGATAAATCTGGATATGAGTGATGTAATAGGATTTGATGAAGCACAATCATGAAGGTAATCGGATAAATCACTTAACATTGCATCCATCCTATCATTTAATAAAGTTTACCAATCAATTTTATAGAAAAAAAAGGTAAAATATATTAACTCTACCTTTTTTCTTTACCGAAAAAAAAATCTTTTAATCCAAAAAGTTAAATTTTATCAAAACATGAAAATTTAACTAACTTTGAAAATTGATGCAACCGATGGCTGCCATTCCAAATCCATTTGTCCTCCAGGTATGTAAAGTTTAGAAAATGAATCCAGTGCTGGATAATTCCAAAGTACGTTAGCCTGAAGCGGTGAAAGTGCTGATGGCTGTTCATCCGCCGCTACATTATCTGTTGGTGATAGACGTGATCGTATTACTATTCGATTCGATGTACGTTTTACCAATGACATATTCTTCTTTGTCATAAGACTACAAAAACACCACAACGTAGAAATAAACATATAGTTTCAATAGATTTTGTGATTCGACGAAATCTCAATGGAATAACGAATAAAAAGATAACAAAGAACAAAAAAAAAAGAAATAAAAAAGAGGAATATTGTTCATCACCAAAGGTGGAAATATAATGCATCAAGCGACAATGTTATTATTGATACTGCTTTTTCCCTTGTTAATTGTAAATTGCGTTTTAATAAAATTTTAGCAAAGCTCTTTAAATTTTCAACTTAAATATATTTTGATAATTTTATCGGGAATTTCATCCCCGATTTCGTTTAGTTTTTTCTTTTCATAACATTAAAAATGTTATCAGAAAAAAAATTATAAAAAATTCCGGAAACAAAATCATCAACGCTTACTGAAATTCCGAAAGGACTGCCTACCACGAGAAGACGTAAAAGTAACGTGAAGAGGAGATGAATACCCCTGGAAGAAGTGAGTAATTGTAAGAGGGATAGGTTGTTGCATAAATCGTCCGTCGTAAAGGATATTCCGTCACGAAGTGAAAATGGGTGTTGCAGGACTTACGTAACCTGAAGTGAGATAGAAGTTACGTGGAATCTAAAGTAAGTTAAGTTAAAGCTACTTGAGTTTTAGAATTGGAAATATATGTAGGAAGCTAAGAAATTATTAAAGTGTATTTATGGTCGGCAATATTAAAAAGGTTCCCTAGAAGGTTATGTTGTCGAGAATTTCCTCAAAAGTTTTGACGTTTTAACGAAATACGAAGTTAATGGAGGTCGTTTTCTTTTTTTTTTTATCAAAAGAGTTTAGTAGATCGGAGTGGTACTGTACGAACTTCTCGTGGCGAAATGAGTACAGAGCAGTCAATTTTATTTTTTAACGTTTCTATGGTACATATGTTTTGTGATCTGTAAGATTTTATTAATGAAGTTATACATTTTGTTAATGAAATTATATTCGAGTGTTAATGAACTTATGCGTTTCATTTGTGATTTTCAGAAATGAGTGGAGAACAGTCAGCTAGCAATTCCAGCGATATATTAGATTCAATAAAAGTATGGATTTCTTTTATAAAAAATTTGAAAAAATAACTGTTACGAAGAAAATATTCCACTGATATAGTTTTTTTTTTTTTTTTTTTTTTTCGAAATTTAAATAGTTTTATACTTTTTAATGCAAAATTGTCAACACTTAATTTCTCCAAATGTTTCACTAATGTTTCCATAAGTCCCAAATAATAACCATGCATTTTAGTCTTTTTATTTTAATTTATTTGTATAGCTTTTACATTCTTAGGTTCTCGAATGGTAATGAAATTCTTTTCGTTATATTATTAGATGATTTCCGACGATAATATATGCTTTAGAATGTGAAATTATGTGCAGTTCGAGCTGTTGGAGAAGCAAATGCTTTACCGATGCGTGCTGAAGGTTATGAACTGTATGCAAGCTTTCCGGTGTATGCCAATCTTATGTTGGAACAACAGAGAAGGATTACTGTTATGTAAATTATACATATATATGTTCATATTTCCTTACGATTTCAACTTCTCTGCTTCTTTTGCTTCTCAATCAAGCATTTTTCTTCATTTTCAGGTTACGTGAAGTATTGCAGAACGCGGGTTGTCGAATTCCATTACCAACAAGGATAAGTGATCTTGATGAATTCTTGGATCGTATTGTTGAGGCAAACGATAGTATCTGCGAACGAGCGGTATGACATCAGTTATATCTAAGGTTTGTACAAAATTTGTTCATACTCTTCATCTGTCTAATTTATTGCAGGGTATCTTACTTGATTTGCTACAAAAAGCTAGACGTATGGAAGAGGTGGTTGTACCACAGCAAATTCTTGATGCGGAAAGTACAGTTGCATCTGAACAAACATTATTTGAGAGACAGGGACGTTATGCTGCACTTTTACGACGTTTACCTGGATATAAGGAAAAATTGTCATCACCAGCGATTACTACTGCAGTTCCTTTGCTGGTAAATTTGCTTCCCAAAAATTGTAACGTGCAATACGTATTTATGTTGTTATTATTAAGTAATTTATGCATATATTTTTATAAACTTTTTTTAAGGGGAGTTATATGCACAACTGTAGTAATGAATTGTTCTCTTTTTCAGACTCCAACTGATAAACACAAAAGCTTTCTTTTTTTTTTGAATTCTAAAAAGCTGAGATAATGTTATATGTGTAGCGCAACCATGGCACGACTTTTTATAGTTGGGCTCTTGTAAACCACCACCGTATCCATATCATGTCTTTCAAATGGAAATTTCATTTCTATATTTTTATTTGAAATCTGAAAAGGATAAAAACAATTTTTAACGACAAAAACTTGATTTGGGTAATCCACTTGCAGACATCCAAGGAGAAACCGCAAATTGTTTTTGGGATTGAAGTTGATAATAGCTTTGCGGAATTCAAGCCAAAACTAAAGGAAAAGCATCATGCTGTGGAAAATTTCGTAAAGAATTTACAAATTGTTGACTGTGATAATGATGGTAATCAAAGTACTATGTGGCACAACGATCAGGGAACGAATTTACATCCTTATCACAGTGAACTGAATCATTTTAAGGTTATAATCTTTCCTTTGGTATCTTAATGATTTTTCCGTACTCTACTTTTTCTTTCTGTCAGGAGATCATACTTCAAGTGAGTATCAGTGGAAGGTGCGTCGATTTCCTTTGATGACCTCGAAATTCTTTGCCTCTTTTTTTTCAGATTCCGGGAAGGCAGTTAACCATCGGAGTAGTTGAACCGCTGAAGGCACTATCGGACACTGAATTGGTATACGTTGATACGCTAGAGAAGTTAAGAAGTTTACGAGATGTTTTGAACAAGGAACAAGAATTCAGTGTAGATCTTGAGGTATCGTTTATTTCTGCTTATGAAAGCAATATTGTTGAACCGTGTTGCTCGCTTATTTTCTGAAAAGTTTCATTTGTTTTATTTGAAAAAGTTGTGGCTCTGAAAACTTTACTTCTGTTCATTTTGATCTTATAAACGACTACATGCTTCGACAGAAAATTAATATTTTTCAGCATAATGCGCAACGTTCATTCCTTGGATTAACTTGTCTGATGCAAATTTCAACACGTCAGATGGATTACATTATTGATCCTTTTCCATTATGGAACGATATGCATATCCTAAATGAGCCATTTACGGATCCAAACATATTGAAGGTAATTAATATATTAGGAAATTTCGAAAGTTCTACTTTTAATACTATTTCAAATATGAGCTTAAATAAATTCAGGTTTAAAAATACTATCATGAATCGGATTGTTAGAGTTTCGGGGCGTAATAACATATCGAAATAATTAGTGTATTATTTTAGCAGGATGGATAAACGGTTATTATCATTAGCTATATGCTAGATCAAAATAGCGCATGTAGAAATCCTTTTATCTTATTATTTTCAATTTTAATATCACTCATTTTCTAGGTTTTTCACGGGGCAGATTCGGATATTGTTTGGTTGCAACGAGATTTTGGCATTTATGTTGTTAATATGTTTGACACATATAAAGCAATGAGAGTGCTTAATTTTTCAAAATTTTCTTACCAACATTTGGTCCAAACTTGTTGCAACCACACTTTAGATAAGAAGTTTCAAAAAGCTGATTGGCGTTTAAGGTACGAATTTCTTGCTAGTTTTAACAAAATTCGTCAAAGTTTCCAGTATTATCCTCATTAGTTTTACTGCATATTCCTCGGAAATATTATCCATATATTTGATTATAAACTGTAAAATTGTCTTTTTAATGAAATATTGTTTTGTCTTTCTAGGCCACTTACGATTGCTCATAAGACATACGCTAGAAGTGATACTCATTATCTGTTACACTGTTATGATCAACTTCGTAAAAGACTTCTCAGTCAGGAAAATGCTGCTAACAATCTTCTCGAATTTGTTTACAATGAATCTGCTCAAACTTGTCTTACTGTCAGTTTTCGTAATTCTTTCTTCTATCTTTTCCTCGAAAATTGATTAAGAATAATGATAGTGAATTAAGAGTAATGAATTAATAAAGTAAAATGCTATATAATACTTGCTTGTGTTATGCAAAGTAGAAACTTTGCATTAGAAAGATTTATGGCATTACTTTCTTCGTGAATTGGAAAGTTTAACTCCTACCTTCCTGTATTTGATTTTCATCCTTTTGACTGTTTTTTTCTATTTAAAGGTTTATAAAAAGCCGAAGTTTGAAAGTGATGGATATGAAAAATTATTGGTAGGAAGGAAACCCCTGAATTCTCGTCAGCAGTTTGCTTTGGCAGCTTTGTGGAAATGGCGTGATGAGCGCGCAAGAACGGATGATGAAAGTCCTCAGTATGTCTTGCCGTGTCACATGATGCTACAGATTGCTGAGGTTTCTTGGTTATTTCATTCTTTTGCTATTTTCTGATTTGGTTAATAAAGAGTTTCGTAGGATCTCTTTTTCATTAAATGAATTCCTTTGATAAAATTATTTTTGTTCTCTCCATAAAAATGGATCTTTTAAATTGTAGTTGGTTGTTCATTCTCGTTATTTCCAGGTACTTCCTCGGGAAATGCAAGGCATTCTGGCATGTTGTAGTCCTGTTCCAGTGCATGTTAAGCAAGAATTACATATTTTACATCAAATCATTAATACATCACGCGATCAACCACTTGTAAAACGTCCAATTTATGCACCAAATATTGGTTCGTTGACATTAGAAGGTGTCACATCGCAACTGAATAAAATGAATGCAGTTAAAGCAATGCTAAGGTTGGCATTAGAATGATACTTTTGATAACCATTTTCACTTACATTTCTTAATTTTAAACATTTTAATTTCTTAAATTGTCGATATTTTACGTGGTTGATACGCAAAACATCATTATTATCTATTATTGTTTCTTTTTATTTGCAGTTATTGATTTAAAAAATCTTTTTCTTTAAGAATTCGTTCAATAAATACTAAAATTTAATTTTTATACTTTTAATTTTAGCGGTAAATTAATCAGTTTCAGGAATTATAGAAAAAATTCGTATAACTCTTGTAAATTAAAACCTAACAGAAATTATTCTTTCACATACTCCTAATTTTAATTATGATTTTTCTTGTTGATGACTTTCTTTTAAATCTGTTTTGCTTTATTACAATTTTTCTGACTCACATTTGTTTTTGCAATAGTATCTTCTTTCCAATTTGTCTATTTCTGTTAAAAAGAAATTGGTCTTTTCATTATTTTATCTTTTCTAGGTGTCATTTGGATTTTTCATCAACCAAATATAATGAAGAAATTCGTGACATTGTTACACAACATGATGACAAAGTGAAGTGTGAAAACGGTGCAACAACAGGTAGTGGTGATGGCTTCCTTTCAACAGAACTTTATACAATTGGTGAAGATAATGAAATGGAAAGTGAACGTTTAACTAAAGTTATGGAAAAATTGGAAGACTGGGCAACTCCTTATGAGTGCTATCGGATTGCTATAATTGAGCAAAGTTCGAAGGCAAACAGCGAGGTATTACAACATTAATCAAATGAATGATTTGTTAAATAGAACTATGACGGTGCTTCCAGTAAAATATTCCTGTCAAAGGCGAATTCGTACTGATTTCTTTCATTGGATTATATAATATGATCAGATCACGAGGAAACTAGCGAGTAGATTTTATTGCAGTGTAAAGAGAAGAACGAAAAAACAGCGAAAAGGGAACAAAGTGCTCCAGAAGAAAAGAAATTATGGTCGCATCTTGATTCCACTACAAATAATCCAGGATTTACTGAAGAAAAAGTTTTTTTTTTTTTTTTTTTTTTTTTTGCGTATACTCTTTTGGTTTATCCTCGCTGTCTTTCTTTAATTCTTCACATTTTCACTTTTTTTTTTTTAATTCACTGAAAATAAGTTTTTTTTTTTTTTTTTTTATCTTTGTATGCACTACGTAGATGATATCTCCGATATTATTGCAGTCTTCATACTTCCATTAGTTTGATATTGTTTATTTAAGAGAAAAACAGCTGTTAGTGAAGATGGAACGAAAAGTATGGCCAAGTCAATACATTGCTTTTTTTATTTTCTTTTTAAACAGGGAATTAATTCTTCTTAACTCATTTTTTTTTTAATGTATATATTCATTATTGTGTTTACATTTTAGATGGCAGCCAGTGAATTGCAAATGGAAAGTGAAAAGAGAAAAAATGCTGAAGAAGAGATGAATATTTACGAGGAAATGACCTTAACAAAAAATGAGTTAAAGAAAAGGAGAAAACGAGTACGATTTTCATCTAGCATTTTGTACAATATCGTTTCGCTACACTTTCCATGTTGATTTTGAATTATTTCTATGTTTTCTTTAAAAAAAAAAAAAAAAACATTCGATGAGAGAGTACTGCAGGGCGCAGGTGAAATTAATATCGCATTGATGAACGATGTAAGTGAAATACAAAAAAGCAGTGTAGAAGCTGTGGGGAAACGAGGTCGAAAAAATAATTGGACCGATGCAGGGGAAAAGTGTGATCAACGAGTTGACTACAGTACCTTTAATCCTGATATTTTCAATAGTTAGTTTTACCTTGCAATATTATTTACTTGTTTTATAATAATAAATTTAGTTTTTTTTTTTTTTTCTATTAAAATCTAGAATTCGGTTATTCGTGGTTGAAATTGAATTAGTTAGTTCCAAAAATATTATAAAAATGCGAACTTGAAATTTTCAATAGCAGTTCGGTATATCATTGTTTGATTTTGCTGTTTTCCATTTTTTGGTGAGTACTAACTCTTTTTTAATTGATGTGAGCGAATTATTACAGAAAACAGTTAGGAGTGATGTGTTTATGAGCAAATTATTTATAGAAAACGCTGTACCAATTTCGGAAACATATGATCCATTCAAACAGTGGAGACGTGGAAGATCGAAACCTCAACGTGGCCGCCGAGTGCAGAGGGGGCGTAAACTGTGATAACGATGGATTGAGCATTTTTTTTGTGTGTCTGTAATTGCCATTGTTGTTATTTTTTTTATTTGGCTCTAATTGAATAATGTAGTGTTTGGAGTTAATGACTACCACAATTATTTATAATCTGTTCTTTGATTATCAAAATTTTTTTTCTTGCATCATTTAAAGTTAATTAAGTTGCTACTTATTTAAATTCCTTATTATTTGTTAGCTTCATTGTGCTTCCAATGTGAGACCAATTTTAAACAGCTAAAATATATAATATGTACGGATGCTAGTCATTGCTTCCTATAATTTTCACTACTGTTGAAAAACTCATACTTTTGCTTTCATTTTCAAAGTTTCATGCTCAAATCGACCACAAAAAATAAAACTTATTTTTTAAAGTTTTAAATTCCAAGGCATATTTTGTTATGTTCCAGAAATGTTTTTTTTTTTTCCCATTTATGCAAAAATTCTTTCCATTTGGTTTACTTTTTTTTCTTTACGTTGCTTAAAATTGACTTTTGGAGAAATGAATAATGAGAAGTGAAAATAAATTCTGAGAAAATCTGCACAAAATAGGATTAATTTGGAAAGGAGGGAAGACTGGAAATTCAAAATAAAACTACAATATTCATATTGTAATGGATGCGGTGATAATATTCGGTGAGTAAGGTGCAAGTCAAAGGTCAAATAATTATTTTTATTGGTGGTGGATATTCCGCCAAAACCTAGTAAGCAGAAAATGAGATGCATATTTTTACGATAGTTATTATTAATTGTATTGACAAATAAGGTTACTTAAATTATTTGTCATGTCAAGATAATACTTTTGTGTTAGATTTGTGTGGTGAGATTTTTGTAAGTGAATAGTTAAGTTAATTTTATGCTTAAATCTTTGATAAAATATTCAATTTTTTTTTCAGTTAGCAGTTTTATAATTATTGTAAAAATTACTCCTCAATTATTCAGTTCTTACCAAATTACTTATCAATAATAATAATCTAAGTAACAATTATGTTTGTATTAGTTCTTGTAAAAGTTCTCTTCTAATTAATGAAATCAGTAAATTTGTTTGAAATCACATTCGTAGATATATCACCGATTTTTTATTTTATTGTCTTTTTGTTTGGATTTCATTATTAATCACTGGTCATATGTTCTTCTTCATGATTACTTTTTAATTGTTATTTAAAATTTTGATAAAGTATGCTAATCAAAAATGATTTATCAACGGCTGTAAATGATTATAGTTACAAACATTCTTGCAATAAAGTACGTTTAACCAATTTTCTGAGTGTTAATACTAATAATAATTGATTTATATCGATGAATTCTATTAAAAGACAGCATAGCAGTATCAACGATGCCTTATCAATCTCGAAAATCACAGAAATATAACGGTGTAACAGTATTAGACAGATCTTATCAATTTTGGTAAATATTGCTAGAGTGGTAGTGTAATAACATTAGTTGAGTCTTATCAATTTAGCAAATTATTAAATGTTGGCATATTGATAACAGGGTATGATATCAAGGTGATAAGAGTATAGTAGCAAACAAAAATGAAAGGTATTGTTGATAAAAGTATCAGAGAGATCTTATCAATAACTGAGGTAAAATATTAATAAAAACCTGATAGAGAGATTTTCTGTGATTTCTTTTTCCTTGTGATACTTGCGATAAACCATTATTTTTTTATGATAAATTTCTTGTGATAAATTATTATTATTAATAATATTTGCATTTAAATTGGTATTCTCCTAATTCTTTGACCTAAATTATCACAAAATTTATCAGGGATCAGCTGTTAAATCAAAGTACACACATATATGTACACGTAATGCACGTAAGGATGCAGACATATATGCAAGAAATATTTGTCATTTGTCATCACTGATTGTCAAATGGAGGTATAATGACAATTATTTCCTTTACTCTGATACTTCCGCAAAACAAGCTAAATGTTTTTTTTTTTTCTCTTCTTTTATACATCTCTTTTTGATTTTAACCGATCTTTAGTTCCAAGTAATCATTCCTACCATTAATCACACAGGAAAAAAACGATAAGAGAAATCAAATCCGGTTTGTTGGTATAAACTTAAGTAGTTTAACTGTCTTATTTACTGCACTTACCTTCTTCCATCTCTTTTCCCTACCTTTTCTCTAAAATTCCCTTTCATTTCTAATTCATCCGCTTGTGTTATCATCATGTGCTTCTGTTTAATATTACATATAAATATCGAATAATATAAATAAAATTACTGATTACTTGGATAAAGCTCTAATATTAAAATAACACTAATTAAGCTTAGTGTTACGTATATTCTCATCAGGAATTTAATTATTTTTATTTATTTATTTGTTTCTAATGATAATAATAAAATTATTATTATTTGTAGTAGCAGTAGTATTGTTGTTGGTATTAGCATAACCGATTTTATTAATAACTTAGCATTGTAATTTACTAATAATTGATAAAATTATTAGTTGAATGATTAAAATAATCCAATTATTTTATTACTTAAATATTGAAATCACATTAGAAACTTTCCATTTATTGCTGCTGATATGCCATTATTCTAACTGTTAGTAAATCTTTCTTTAAGTAATTTCAAATTTTGCAGTTTATCAAAATTAATTTGCAATTAATTAAACTTACGTAAATATTTTTTTTTTTGTGTCAAAGTTCAATAATTTAAAAAGTAAGATTTAGCATGGCTACGATTACTTCATTAGATATTAATGATGCATCGATAATAAATTATGGCAAACCAAATGGTCTTCACTGGATTACTGCTGCATTATTCCTGATCGCTGATATGGCTGGTGCCGGTATTGTTGCATTTCCGGTTGCAATGACTCGATCCGGTAAAAAGAGAAATTTCGCGCATTAATTTTAACAAAAAGTTGATCATATGATAATTGAATTATTAGAACAAATAATTCTATCATTCAATGTGGTTAAGAACAAATAGCGATAAGCTTAAGTCTTTTTTTCCAGCACAATGTTAATTATTCAATTAAAAGTTTAATTTACAACAAATAATATTCTTAACCTCAAAGTTTTCACTTGTGATATAAAAAAAAAAAAACATATTTCTATCAAATTTATTCCATATTACTGATAAACTGTGGTGTATCAAATATATATTTTTAAATTCTATGGTCTCAGCTTATTAACAAATCATTTCAAAACAAAAATATTGGAATACTTATTAATACTATTAACAAATTATCCGAAGGAAAAAAAAAAAAAAAAAAACAGAGTGCTTATAATTTAATAAACCTTTAGTATAGGAAATCATTTGATGAATGCTAAAATTTCATTTTTACACTTCCAATTTCATTGATAAGTGAAATGATGAATTGAGCAATTTTACAAATTACTAAATTAATAATCTAAAAGAAAATTTAACAAAAAATTATTAAATTGCTCATAAATATAATAAATGTATAATATTTAGGTACTTTTGGTGGTATAATTATTTTGGTACTGTTAGCAATTACATTTTGTTATACAGCATGCATACTATCAAAAAATTGGATTATTATGTGCGAACGATGGACTGTTTATGCTAAACACTGCCGGAAACCGTATCCGGAAATGGCATACCGTGCAATGGGCACCAGTGCAAGGTTTACTTTTTAGTGTCTGTTATAATGTTTTAGAGCTTTCTTTTCTATCTTTTTTTATTATTTAAAAAATATTGAACATTTGTTTGTTTCCAGTGAAAAATAATAAAAAGAAATTGTATTATTTTCTGTAGTATTTATTATTTTATATTTTTAATTTATAACAAGGAAAAGTATTTCAATATATTTAATCCAGAAGAAATATTAATATAATTATTTATTTAAATTTTTGTCTATTTTTTTCTTTCAAAAAGTTAAACAATCATTTAATTTTAACATGAATATATGATAGCAATTGTTTGATTTAAAAACTTTTTCACAAGTTTCAGATCTATTTGCTCGTTTATTCTCAACACTGTCCTCTTTGGTGTCGCCGTTGTCTTTTGTTTACTAGCAGCTTATATCATTAATGATTTTATCATTTCCATTACTAATTATGATATTGGATTTTGCTATGTTTTGTTATTTGTTACAGTAGCTATTTATCCGGTAACATTGTTACGATCACCACAAGATTTTTGGTAATTTCAATTGGAATTATTCTTTTTTTATTTTATAAAAAAAATATTTTAAAAGTTATTTTTGAAAACTTTTTTTTTTGCTTTCAAAATTTGTCGTCAATGAACTATCAAATGTTAACATTTATAAAAGTTTAATATGACATTTTAATTATTATCAAATTTCTTTGTATAATTTCAGCAAAAAAAAATGAAAAACAACGATAATTAATATTGATTTAATTAATCAAAATTGTAATTTTAATAGGTGGGCGGTTGTATTAGCTATGCTAACAACACTGTTTTCCGTATTTCTCATCCTTGTTGGTTCATGGTTGGATTACGGAAAATGTGGCACTGATCAGAAAAAGCCAGTCATCCGGTTTAATGACATCGTTGCATCTTTGGGGACATTTATGTTTGGCTTTGGTGGACACATTGTATTTCCAAGTGTGCAGCATGACATGAAATATCCGAAACATTTTATTCGTTCTGCAATTTTAGCTTTTGTCGGTTCGTTTTAATAATATCTTTTCTTTTCTTTTATAAATTAAATTAAAATAATTAATTGTTAAAAATTAGAGTAAATACATTTCACAATAAATCAAACAATCTCTCTTCTTCTTTTCCTCAAAACGAAAAAAAAAAAAGGAGAAAACCGATTGTTTAATCAATTTTTCAAAAAGAGAAAAAATGGACACATTGTTTTAAAAAAGAAAAAAACGCAACATTTTTTCAAACAAACTTAATTATATTTTTGTTTTTAATTAAAATATTTTTTAAACAAAACTTTCTTCTTTCTTTTTTATATATTTTGAAAATAAATTTTTACATCACAATTGTTTCAAATTTTCTTTTAAAAAAAGGTTCTAATTATATATAGCTTCAGACTTATTTTATTGATTATAAGTAAATAGCAATAATAATAACAATTAATAGTGGCGATAATGAAAATAATAATAACAACAGTAGTAATAACAGTAATGTTATTAGTAATAATAATAATAATAATAGATAATCAAAATGGAATATATGGCAGTTTGAGACTTTTTGTAATGATTATTAGAAGGACAGAAAATATTTTCTAGAAAATTCCTACAGCGGTACTATTTATTGCTGAATTAATATTTTAGAATATGAAATTCTCAACAAAGTTAGCAAATTTTTCATCTTAATTTAGTAATCAATGAACGTTAATTTGGTATTAATTAAATGTTAGTGAACTGTCATCCATTTCACTTCATTTAATACTTAATTCATAATCGATCAATAAATGTTGTCAATTACAGGAGTAGCAGTGCTGTACTTACCCGTGTCCATACTCGGTTACGTGACGTACGGTAATTCACTTCACGACTCCGTTATTAATTCTATACAGGTACCACGTAATTCAAATTAATCATTTAAAAAAATTTCTTCATTCAGTTTTTTATTTGTGGATTTATCATCAAAAAATTTATTTTACAGCTAATCGCATCAATTTATTTTCTTATTTATGAATTATTTTTGTTGAAAATCATAAAACATTAATTTAAATTTAGCGACAAACACTAAAATAAAGTACGCAACAGTTTCTTATGAAGCCAATATTGGTAACTTAATGATTGCATTTTTATAAATTGTTGAAATTTTTTTCCATTTGAAGAAAAAAACTTTTTTTGCATAGTTGAATTTAGTAATTTTATTGAAATCAATAAACAGAATTGAATTTGACAACTCTGTTTTGATTAAAAGAAGAAATAAATTTATAAATGGACAATTGCTTGTATTATAATGAATTAAGTTAAAGATTATATTGAAGTAAGTATTGAATTTGAACTTTTTATGCCAGAAAATTTTATAAATTAATTTCTCTTTTTCGACTGGTTGGATTCGACAATGTGCTAATTTATTCATCGCAGTGCATTGCATACTGACATTAACTGTCATCATTAATCCATTAAATCAAGAAATGGAAAGCTTTGTCAGTGCTCCTCATCGTATGTTTTTTTCTCTCCCTCTCCCTTTCTCACTTCCTCTCTCTCTCCCTCTCTCTCTCTCTCTCTTTTCTCTTTTTTCACTTTTTGCTAACAAATGATTACATCCCTTATCATATTCTTAACATTTCAACAATTTCCACTCGATAATTAGTATCAAATTTTCATTACTTACATTTTAATTAAGTAACTTTTATAACTTTTGTTAAAGCAATTATATTAAATAATAATTATTATTGTTTATATATATTTAAATTAGTATTATCAACATTTCAGTATTCAATTTTAGTTTAATGATATTATATAAATTGATTGTGTATATTTGAAGTTTAGTAATTTTTATCACTTCTCCTTTCAATAATCAATTTACAATTTAATGCTTAAAAGCATAAATAGAAACAATTATCAAAATTATTGCGATTACTTTCTATTGTTTATACTTTTGTCACTTTCGCTCATTAATTTATAATTGTTGACAAGATTGATAATCGTTTTATCATTTGTCAGACATCCCACAATTTGTGACTATTATCATTAATTAATTAAATTCTTATCATTTTATTGCAGATTTTGGTTGGCATCGAATTATTATTCGTACAATTGTCCTTTTAGCAATTTTATTTGTTGCGGAAACAGTACCCAAATTCGGACCAATCCTAAATGTTATTGGTGGTAGTACAGTTGCGCTCACATCAGCAATGTTACCGCTTATTTACAATAATTATCTAAACGCATCGATCCACGATCCAATCACAAATACTTATAAACGACCAACATTTTCACAGTACTAAGTTATTTCGTTTTTCATTTCTTTTTACTATTACAAATTTTTTATTCTTTCATTTTTTTAATAAAACAAATGAAAAAAAAAGGTGGAAATAATGAATTACGTGAAAGTTTTACGTAAAACGTAAATTTAATTTCGAAGCAAAAAAAAAGGTAATTAAATGAATAATAAGCATTTTGATAAGTTTATTTTGATAATTAAATGAATAAGTAAATATATCAAATAGATGGCACAATAATTTAATTATGAGCATTGTTTACTTTATTTTGTTCACTTGAAATTTAAAAAAAAAAAAAAGTATGTTGAATGATATTTGAGTTCATCCAATTACTATTTTTTCGCTTAAAAATTTTGAAAATTAGTATGAATTATTTTTTGCAGTAATACTATTATTGTAATTGTTATTGTTGCACAAATGTAATTTAAATTTTTAATTTTTCAGAGTACTTCAACGAAATTCAAAAAGTAAATTATTGGTTGATTTCATTGTTATTGGTAAGCATACTATGAGCATTTTCTTTTTTTTTTGGAGAAAATCTTTGCTTTTGTATTTTGCGATTTGTAAAAAGAAAATGTAAATGAAATTTAAAATAAACAACTGAATTTAATTTAAATTGAATTTGAATGCTTCTGTCCTTCTACTTTTTTTTTGTAATGATAAGTAATCCTATGAGAACTGTTATCACTCATTATGTTACCATTTCTCCTAGTAAACAAAATAATTATTATTATTATTGCGATTGATAAAAAATTTTCTTTCCTAAAATTTTTCATTTCCTTTCTTGTTTTCTGTTTTTTACCTAAAAAATGAATAATTTAAGTATTTTTAAGTATGCTTAAATATATCAAAATTTTTATTTCTCTCTTAATATACTAATTAATAACAAATAATTAGGGTAAAAAATAATGAAATGATAAATTAATTAAATGTAGTGGAATATTTTTTCCACCTTTTTAAATGGAACCTTAATCGTAATAACATAACCGTAATAATGATAATAATAAAATATTATGATAACAATAATAAGTAATCATAATTGCTTGACTGATTGCAGTAGTATCGGTACTATTCGGCATGGCAACAACATACATTGCTATAATTGACATGTCATCAACAGATTTCACTGCGCCGTGCTATTTGTCATTTGCGGAAAGTGCAGCGGCGCAGAATGCATCTGCTCAACTGTTATCAGTGCAATCATCGCTTTGTGATTAAATATTTAAATTTCAACACTAACTGTCAATGTGGTCTTTGCTTCTGTGTATGATAGTATGTAAATAATTTTATTTCAAATTAAGTAATATAAATAATTGTTTGAAAGTTTGCGTAAACAAGTAGAATAGTCTATAAACAAAAAAAGGTACAAAAAATGAAAAACTGAATACAAAAGATGTAATTAAATGAGCAATGCATATTATAATTTTCTTTTTTTTAAATAAGAAAATTGTTTCATTTATAAACAAATTAATTTGAGCAAATATATTTGTTATAAAGTTAATAATAAATAATTAATTGCGAGTAATAAATTAAAAAGAAATAAACAATTATGTGTGTAATTGAAAACATTTTGCATTTTTTCCAAAAATAAATTCATTTTATCAAATTGCGAATACATTTCTGATTTGATATTTTTTTAACTTTGAGCTTATTTTCACTTTTTTATCTTTTTTTTTTTGTTTTTTTGTTATTGTTAGCTTCTTTTAGATACTCTAATTTGAGTTTCCATTTGTTTCAAAAAAATTGAAAGAGAAACAACGAAAAATGGTCTAATTTAATTGTATCTAAAATAATAAATTTTTTTTCGATAATGTTGCAAATTTTACAATCAAATATTTTTATTGATAATATTATTAGCATTTTTCATTCTGTTTTTCTTTAATGCTATAAAATGCAATGTTATTAAAGCAATAAAAATTTATTTAACAAATTTATTTATTCCATTTGAAATGAAGAAATAAAGGTTAAAAAGATTACTTTCATACTGAAATAAACAAAAAATAATGGAAAATTGTTCTGAAAAAAGAATAAAAATGAATTGAAATGAATTGATTTCAATAAAAAAGATTTATTAGTAATGAAATGGTAAACAAAAATGGAAATTTTTCCCTAATATTTCGTTGTAAATGAAATGTAAGCTATCTATTATTATTATTAACTTAGAAAAGAATTCATCTTCACCTTAATTTTTAATTTGTTCTTTAAATCAATGTGCTAAAAATTGTTTAAACAAGAAAAGGAATTTGGGCAGTGTTATTGTGAATTTAATATTCGAATATTTTCTATTTGAGAGATAAAATCACAATATTAAATAAAGTTTAAATTAAATCTATTATTTGAATTATAATATTTGGAATATCTGAGATCCTTTAATTTCATTATTTTAATTTGATAATATATTTGTTTTTTTTTTTTTTTTTTTAAAAAAAAATTTCAGCAAAAAAAGAAAAATCGACGAATTCATTAAAAACTTTGACAGATTTGACAATTTCAAACATTCATATATTATTTTATTCTCAATTAATTTAATTTAGTGAAACAATTTTTATTGCATATGAACGGCTGTTGTCGTTCATTTTGCGCTGCGCGAAATGCATTATATTGAAGAAGGACAAATCATTGATCAATGGGTGTGCTGTTTTGTGCGCCATGCGCAATTAGTCTAATTAACTAATACTTCATAATATCTCAAATGCGCCAATAAATCCAACAAAAAAGACAGCTATGATATTTGATTAATTATTTAAGGAAAAATTACGATAAATCAAATTTTATCATCGCGCATTTTGTCCAGCTGTAGTTTTTTTTTTTTTTTTAATTTTATTAAAAGTTTACATCATTTCATAATAAATTCTTTTTCCTCAATAGAACAATTTAAAATTTTCTTTACTTTTGAAAATGATAAACTTTTGTCTTGCACAAACAATTTTAATTTAATTTATAAAATTAGAGTTTTCTAAGTTTTTTTCTTTTTTTTTTTTTAATTCATTACTAAAAAAAATTTTGCTAATAGCTTTCTGGTTGAGATAAATTTTATTTGCTTCAAAAATAAACTTTTTTTAACTTTTAATTTTTTATTTAGGTAATACAAATACCATTTGCTTTAATACTTTTGGAAATTATTGCAATTTGCATCGTACGTTGCATTTTGGCTTTCTTAGCAATAACAAAATATAAGCGCAAACGGTATTATTGTCACCAAGCGCCAATTTTGGATAGCTCATATTTTGCTGATGCGCCATCATACGTTGAAAAAAATTTGGTATTCAATAATCTAAAAAAAAAAAAAAAAAGACAGAAATTAAAGATAAACTCTAATAATTTTAGTAATTTATTCAAATTTAATAGAGAAATGAATTTTAACTTGTTTTTTTTTCTGTTTAGCAAATTGCCATTGATTCCATTGATTCTCTGATATTAATCATTTTGTTATCAATAATAAATAACAACAATGATAATATTTGATAATAATAGCATTAATAACAAAAACATTGATAATAATAGCAATAATGAAATAAACAAATGTTGTTTACAATTTGTGTTAATTCATTTGCCATTGATATTATTATTATTACTAACAAATGCGAAATATATTAATTAATTAATTAATGTGTAACATAATGAAATTATCAAAGATGGAAGCAATTTTTCTGTAATAAGCAAAAAGTTTTTATCAATTAAATTAAAGTCATATTAATAAGAAATAAAAAATTTTGAATGATAAAATTTGAGCAAAATAAATTATACATTAATATTTCTCCATTTTGTAAATAATACAGAAATTTTTGCAAGCATTAAATGATTTAGTGTATTTATTCAAATATGTTAATTCTTTCGTTGCATAACAAATATTTATGGTACTTCTATATTTCAGGAAGATCCGGCAAGAAAAGGAAATGCAGCACGGAAAGCAGCTATAAGTTCTTTGATACCGGAAAGAGTGAATGAAGAAAATAGAACCGCTCAAAGTGGCAAAAATATTTGACAATGGAACAATTAAATGTCGAAGGAAAAGTAAACAAATTTCGACAAGTAAAAAAATGCTTGAAGCTAAATTTAACTGTGCTGCAGTAGCGTGCATTTTGGCCTGCATTTTGCATGCATTTTAGCACCACTAAAGATAATCAAAATAATCGAATCCATATTCAATTATTTTAATTCTCATTCCATTGATATTAACTGGAACAATACAATATGTTACAGTAATCAAAAATGTTGACAATTTATATGAATGATTAAAATTGAGATAAACTGTAAGAAATAATTAAGCGTGACTTTACTTATTTATAAGTTATTTTCAATTAAGCGTGACTTCACTTATTTATAAGTTATTTTCAATTAAGCGTGACTTCACTTATTTATAAGTTATTTTCAATTAAGCGTGACTTCACTTATTTATAAGTTATTTTCAATTAAGCGTGACTTCACTTATTTATAAGTTATTTTCAATTAAGCGTGACTTCACTTGTTTTTTAAACTATTTTCAAATTGTAAGTTTTGCATTAATTAAGACAAGTTAGGATCATTATTCTACAGTTTACACTCTATTTTCTGCCTTATCAGCAATTCATCAGTGATAATTTGCTCATCTTATCACTTTCTCATTAGTATCTTATGCGAGATGTAATACATTTGTGTAATATAAAAAATTAAGAAATAAGAACTAAAAACTAAAAAATGTAGGAGAAATTGAAATTTTTTCTCAAAAAAAGAAATTTTGATCCAAACGGAGAAATTTCTATTAAAGTAATTTATTGAAAAAACAGATTAATTTATATTTCATTAAGAAATTTAAAAAAAAAAAAAATGTAAAAAAACGTTTTTTAAATTGACACTTTGCAAATGTCACAAATTTCAAATTTCTCATTGAAATGAATTTTTTCTTATCATATAATATCACTGAAAGCATAATTAGCATACATTAATGTTGTGATAATAGAATAATATCAAAGAGTATCGTTATTATCAGCAGAAACAGAGTAAATTACAAATTTCTTTTTTCTTTTTTTAAACTCTAATTTAAATATGATGGTAATATCACCGGAACATCATTTTTTCAATACAAATTATGACTTATGACCAGCAGTTAGCTTTATCAGATAATAAAAAGAAAACACTTTTAAAAGAATTTGGAGGCAGAATAATTAATAATGTCAGAATAATAACTCCAAATAATTAATGATTTCTGATTAAAAATTTGTTTAAGAATTCAAATTCATGGTCAAATGTCATTTGAGCAAATGAATAAACTGAGGCATAGTGCATGCATATTAATTAACAATGCAAAAAGTAATGCAATTAATTAACAAAATTAATAAGGCACACTTTAATAAAGGCATTTTAAATAAAATAAAAAAAGTTTTTGAAATTATTTGCTTCGTAAATTTCAACGTTAATTGTAAGATTTACTAGCAAAAAACGTTAAATAATATCGTAAAATTGTGTATTGTCAAATGCTTTAAGAATAAATTAATCAAATTAATATATAAAATTTCATTTTTTTGGTGGTTTACTGAGTGAAATAGTACATTTGGCTAATGGAATAATGCATTTTGTGCATATTAGCACGGTGGCTAATATACTTACTATGACAAGCGCTATTTCTAAAGCGCAAGTGACTGCTTCGGTTGTTGAGTTTAGACCGTTGAGCCACTGTCGTGGGTCAAGATTGAGCAGGAAATTCTCGATGCCACGCTCGTTGCATCCTGGACAATTGTCAATACCTGCTTGCCAACGGTGTGCCACGTGTCGTTCACGTAGCGGCGATGCTTCGTATCTGAATTATATCACATTAAATAATCCTAAATTTTAATCCAAAAAAAACACGGAAATATATGTAGAAAAATACAAAAATATTTATTTATAGCAACAAGAAAATGTACATAAAACTTATTGAAATATAAATTAGTATTCAAATTCACTTGCAAATTTTGCCATAAATTAAAAATTAGATTTTTCTTAATATATATAACTTACTTTAAGCATTCACCACTGCATTGTACACAAAATATGAAATAAATTAATGTTCAAATTCATTTCTAATTTAACTATAAGTAAAAGATCAAATTTCATTTCCTCAATATTTGATTAACTTTAATCATTAAAATTCACTCCAGTACAAGTTAATAATCAAATTCATTCCCAGTTTAATTACAAACTAGAACTGAAACATAATTTCTCACTTACTTTAACCACTTGCACTGCTCCGCACTGGCATCACCAGCCGGTTGCAAGCACACATACCGATCGGAGATTATTCCTGTTGGAATTCCACCGATCGTCGCAGTAAATTTCGTCCTTGTTGCGGTGCCAATTTCTATGCTAAAACTCCAATCGGTGCTCGATTTATCCTCTGACCGATGCACATAACCAATTAATGTCCCTTTTCCACCCTAAAAATGAGAACAATAAATGAAACTTTTCTCTTTTGCTAATTTTTTCCTCTCTTCTTGGAAATTTAAATTTTTCGAATTATTTCTTATTAAAAATAATTCAAAATAATGTTTGTTTCCAAAAAAAAAAAAAAAAACAGAAAGCAAAATGATCAATCATTCAATGCTACTATTATAAGTTACTATTAAAAATCTTATTACAATGCTTCGAAAAAATTTTAAAAAAAAGAGAAAAAAATGTCTGCAAATAATTTTAATAACAAATAATTTAGTGAGCTTTACTGCAAAATTATTTGATGCAAAATTTAAATCAAATAATCATTAGTAATAAATTAAAACAGTACATAAGTTAAAGTGAATAAGATCAATTTTTTTTTTCTACTTTTATACTTTGAGTTTGATTTTTATTTTTACTTTGAATTTGTTTTTTTATTTTTGTACCAAAAATCCACCACAAAATATTTAACTAATTATGATTGTAACTTTATGTTTATTCAACTTTTTTATTACAAAGTTTACAAGTATTGTAAGGTTGAGAAATCGATTTGATTGATCATCCATTCGAATTGTTCCATTGAATGTTAGCAAATGTGATGCATGTCTTACAATTATGGGTCTTAAAAGAAAACAAAAATAAATTCATTAACGATTAAAACGAATGTTTAGAGCAAAAGAAAAGAATTAGATAAATTTATTTTTTGTTTAGATCAGCAATGGATAACTTCTGTTTTTATCAAAAAATCGTTAAAAATTAATACAGTCAGCAATTATTACATTTATATAATTTATAGTTTAAATTTTACAATTTGATTTAAACTTTCACCTAGTGTCACTGCTAACACTAATATGTACTACAGTGCCTTCAGCATGAACAATTCGTACTGCTCGATTATCATTTAAAATTTCCACTTGTTCAATCCAGTTCTGCTCATGAACCGGATAGCCGAGATCAAGATCAGTGATACGATCATCGGAAGTTATAAAATATTCTGCATTGTATCGAGTTAAATAACGTTGTCCTTTACAATTTTCAATTGTAACATGCTACAAAAAAAAAAAATACTTTTTTCCGGTTTTTTTTCAAAAAAAATCAAGAATAATTCTTTTTTAATTTATATTAATTTCAATTTAATTATGTCAAAACAAAAAAAAAAAAGATAAAATTCAAAGAAAATTTTTCATTTTTTCCACATAACTCCTTCCATTTGTTTTTTTTTATGAAATTGAAGTAATTTTGTATACCTGTGAATCGGTAATTTTAATAATTCCATTACGTATCAACCATGAATTAGCATTTTTGCGTAACCAACCCAACTTATGAATGTCACTTTCAGTTGGTTCATTTAGTCGTACACCCATCATTAATTGACGATTATCATTCGAAAAATAATACATTCCGTTTAACATTTCACGGATTGCTCGACCTGTTGTAGTTCGTATTTCCATCTGCAAAAAAGGTAATATATATGTATATATGATAACAATTAATTATTATCGTAAAGAAAAAATTTCATATTAAAGTAATTTTAAAAAAAGAAACATAAATGAAGAAAAAAGAACAAAGCATCAAAGCACTTTTAACAATTACTTTTTTCTTTTTCTGTATTGTCATTTAATGAATTTAATACTCTAAAATTCTAATTCAGTCACTCAAAAAATTTAATCCTAAATAGTATTCAAATGATAATTCAATTAGAAAAAACCTGTCGCTTATCAATTGTCTCCATTTTAGCTGAACCTTTATTAACAACTGCTTCAAATTCTTCAGAAGCTGCTTCTGTCCAGCGACTTGCTAGACGCTCGTAAATGCGATGTCGGAGAATGATTATTGTATCAGGTTGAGTTAACTTTACAGCTGTATAAGTTCTTCCCTGTTGATAAATTGAAATTAGCAAGTAAATATGTTAATATCATTTCCAAAAAGTAAAGAATTAATAAATGAAATCAAAACATATTAGAATTATATGAAAATTAAGATTAGAAAATGATTACTTATCATTTGTTAAACATTTGGCTACGATTATAACGGAGAAGGAAAATTCTCGCAAATAATATTTGAATAAATTGTTTCTTCGGTAAATAGACAGAATAGTTGGATAAGTATTAATATACATATTAGCTAAACTAATATATTGAATTAATTATATATTTTGTAAATTAAACAGTTTAGAGATAGATTAAAGAAATAAAGATGAATAAATAATTTAATTTAAGCTAATAAACACAAACATTAGTGGAAGTAAATAAATTAAAAATTAATAAAATAAAAAAAATGGTAATGAATAAAATTAAAATGTGAAATGAAAGTTATACGTCGCACGGTTCGATCGCAACTTCGCAACAAACTTCACTTTTGGATGACATCAAGCAACCACTGCTCGACTGATGTGCGTAGTATGTCCGATAGCAGACAGAGCCTTTTGTGCAATTCATAAAATATAAAATTTAATTAAATATAAAATTATGTGTAATCCTTTTTTAGTTTTTTTTTTTTTTTCAGAGTGTAAAATATTTATTTTTGTTAATTATAATTAAATAATATTTTTGTTCATTTAAACATATGCTGTTTTAATTTCAAATAGTTTTCAAATTA